CACCAAGGAGACGGGATAACCCAGCTCAAACAAACAGCGATCTTTTTGCATCAGCGCAGGAAACTACACGATTCAACAGATTACATCCTGTACAATCAGGATTTAGCTGGCTTCTTTACATCGGTCGATCAAAGCCGGTTTCTTTCAGCATACAGCATCATGGTTCGATGGTACAGAGAGAAGAACCCACTACACTCTTCCAAATTCTTCATTGACCACTCACAGAAAGACCCCACACATCGAGTCCACAGAGGTAAAAGCAGACAAAAGCAGCAGGAAGCCTCCTCCGGCAACAAACTTTGCATACAATTACAACACATACCACAACTCATCATTGCAGTGCTCAGGCTCAACTATTTCACTGTCGGTACATCACTCATTGAGCAATTTCGTGGAGCACCTATGGGCTCGCCCTGCAGCCCAGCTTTATGCAACATCGTGGTTGCTGTAGAAGAGCAGTGTTGGCACCACACATACAAGCAACTTTTCACGAACCACAAGCATTTTCCAGACCACAACAAGCAGGATCAAGCTTACTTTTTTGCTACCAGATACGTCGACAACCGCGTCCTTCTATTGCCTGCACAGCTGACCCGACTGCCTCCTTTTGCACAGCTTACTGACGCATCTTTCTACAAACCACCGGTTCAGCTTGAAACTGAACCGGCCAACATTTTCCTGGGTTTCGCCATAAACCCTCAGCACAGCAGCCTTACGCATCACTGCACTTTACACAAGGCGGATATTTTACACCCACAGTCGGCGACCTCTGTTGCAACACTTCGCAGCAGTTTTCAGGCCCGCACACGCATGGTACGCAGAGTGACAACACCATGCAGCGAGGCCACATCAGCCATTCGAGCCATGCGCGATCTGTACATCGCTGCCGGCTATACTGATCAACAGCTGTAAGCAAAAACACTGTGCCAAGTTGCAGTGCGTGCGTTCAGAGCCATGCAACTTTGCAACATGTGAGACGCCTTGTACCAATACAGTGTTTCCCGCAGCCATTTACAGGGACTAACTGAGGCATCATCATGTATAAAAGTGCCATGACTGGCAGATTGCAGCCGAGCCACAAAGCGCTGAGCGGCCGTCCTCGGCCATCCATCTCCAAGCATAGCAGACGCCGCAACGAGCAGCCTGCGGTTGGCAGCCACACTCAACAGCCGGCGCCTTTACGCTCTCAGTTCCTACGTGTCGCAGAAGACGAAGATTTCCAAGATTACCAAGAGCAACACCAAGATCCGCAAGAACAGCAGGACGCAGCAGTGGCTGCACCGGCGACTCCGCCATTTCCACCTCCGCCGCATTCTGGTCCGGATTCATCGGCTGAGATTATTGAGTTACTAACACAGTTTCACAATTCGTTGCTTGAATCCAATGCCAAGCTGGAACGCTTGATACAGCAGGCCACAACGGTGTTGACTACTCAACACGAAGCCACCACTGCCATTATGGCATCATGCAAACAGCAACTTGATATTCTCGAGAGCCTTATGAGGCAAAACACACCAGACTGGTCCTGAATGTGCTGCTGAATCCGCTGGTATAAAAAGAGCCAGGTAGTGCACACCTCTTGCATTTGAACATATGTTGCTTGCAGATACGCACCATAACTTCGCCTTCTGAAGTTTTATGCCTCAGAGTGACACCTATTGGAATCCCGACATAGAGCCATGAGTGAAGCATCTTTTCCGACAAACACAGCGACTACAGCTTCGCCACCCATCGATGAGGCACGACGTGAAGCTCTCTCCGAGGCCATCATGGAGATTTTGACACAGCATCGGGACTATGATTCAGAAACTGGAAGCGAACCTTCCACATTCAGTGATGGGGCTCTACGCGACCAATTAGCCGAGTTTATTCTTCAAACAACTCGGCAGATCACAGAGCTAAAGCAACGAGTGGAACGACTCGAAGCTTCGCAACAATAGGTGATCAACCATGCTCATACCGTCATCGGGCGCTTTGCAGCGGACGGTGAAAACAATGATAGTCGTTTTTGCCAATTGTTACAGTCAGTGCACTCACTTCACATATGTTTGTTATGCAGCGATTGATGCACTCTTTCCCGCAGCATTTTGAAAAACAACCAGTTGTGTTAGCACCATGGAACAACGCACCAGATCGCGATCTCCGACGGCATCACAATGGAGATGGCATTGGGCCACTAACGGCTCTTCATGGTGGCGAGAGTACTTTATCGCATCTCAAGAGTGGATACGAAAGCATTCGGAGCAACCTGATCAGCGTCCGACATCAACGACTCCTACCCAAAAGGAGACAGTATCTACTACATCAACTCCTACATCCAACAAGCGAAAGCGATCAAGAACTCCGTGAGCAGCATCGCTGAGTTGACAATTAGATGCATATTTGCTGCCCCCGGCAGCCAACAACCACACAGCAAAGCTGTGCTGCGAACTCCATCATATCTGATGAAGTTCAACATTAAGAGCATCATGTCGAAAGGTCATGCAGGTTTGCGCGGTTAATCAATTGATGTCTCTGTGTACCTCTCTCTCTCTTCTGAAGACCAACGTATGCACATGCCTCAATGCAGTTGTGACTCCGCAGCCATTTCTCAGAACTACAGTTGCTGAAACACATTAGGACAGCTTTGCACACAAATGGACGAGGATGACGACAGCAGCCTATGGGGATCCGAAGAGATTGATGCCTTCTTGAGGAAGGATGACACCACCACATCCTCCCATGCAGTCAGCCACACACACAAGCAAAAAACAAAGCACACAACGAGGACAAAAAAGAAGAAAGACAACAAAGACAAAAAGGACAAAACAGTCAAGAAAACAAAGAAAACACGCAACATCTCACCACCATCCCAATCCACAACACAGCAACGACGCCAACATCCACATACTACAAGACGAAAGAGGACACGCTCTTCGCATTCAACATCATCAGCATCACCTACGGCAACGTCACACCTGGCTGAGGACCAACACCGGTCTCCATCTCGAGATCCTTGGTCTTCTGACTCGATTGCACCTTACGATATTGTGCATCCTACTATTCAGCACAAGCGGTCCAAAACCGCTTGTGCAAAAATGCTGGTACGTGCAGGATTCAGGTGTCGCTGCCATTTCAAGATCATGAGTGACTGTCCCAACAGACTCGCTGTTGGACCCTAATTCTCAGGACGGATTAGTGCTGCAAGATCCGCTAAGCGTGACAAAAAAGCCTGCTCATAAGAGCGTCAGGACGACACCGCTTTGTTGTTTTGCCAGAGCACACATCATGTCCATGTTGATTTGCATTCATTGTTCAAGCTTTTGTCGGTTGGTAGCAGCAAAAGTATGACAAAGCGAAAGGCTGCCGAGGCCGGCCTTCCATGGTACTCCATGGCAGGACAATGTTTTCGGATGACTGTTGAAATTCCACCCGACCGCATCACCAGAGACAAGCACATGTTCTTACACGTGGTGCTTTGTCTGGGCGACAACGTTCTCCAAGCACGCAAGATCTTCTCCTACCGCATCAAGGAGATCACCGGCAGAACTCCTAAAATCCCAGCTTTCTTCTTCGAGCAAAACCGACGACGACTAATTACATGATTGGGATTCAGTCACCACATTAGCCACGTTGATGCCGGTGCTCTTTGTTAGAACCTGTTCGGATCAGGAAATACGACAATCACCCGATCGCTATTGACAGCGAGAAAAGTGCGCCATACACTCCTATTGCCGTGCATCAGACCTTTCGCTCTACTTGAAGCATGTACGCCCCATTTGGGGCTGTGTGTGTGTGAACCTCCCTAGCACATGGGAGCAGAGGGTCACTCCTACACTGTTTGCAATTTTTGCTTTTCAACATAATCAGACATTGGACACTAACCAAATCAACTGTTGCAGGGGCATTGGGCACTCCTTGGCAGACCCAATGCAACGAAGCTATGCCATGGAGTGGGAAGCAGTTCAGGACGCTGAACTGTGTACCTGCAAGCTGGGCCCCCTGAGGCAGCCAGATTAGAAAACGCTGGCCCCCTGAGGCAGCAAGATTAGTACATTTACGGTTTCCACCTTTTGATTGAGCATAAAGCTTTGCACGTTTGCCGCAATCTGACAAGCTTTTGCAACAACATGCCTCTCTTTTTCCTCTTGCACTCGTACTCTTGGCCGAATCCATCAGTGTGTGTGTGCTGAGCTGCGTGTGTTAAGCCTGAAGCTGGCCGTGCTGATGTGTGTGCTGAAGCACATGAGGATCCTTGACAACAAGACTCCGTAGTGCAGAGTCCGGAGTGAGTTCGTCGAAAAACATGGGCGCTACATCGTGCTGTGGAATGATGGGTGACGTGTGCAGACGTGCATATTTGAAGCGTGCTTGCGGATTGTCGAATGTTGTTCGACGTTAGTTCGGGCCACACGGTTTACGCAAAGGTGTTGTTGTGATTCTCCACGCCGGTGCAGGTTGCTCAAGCTAGCACGGACGTAACACATGTTATGCCAGCGGAGATCCCCGAACAGTGTAAGACCATTCCAGACGCGTGCCACTAGGACCAGTGAGTCACAACCATTGTCGCATGCAACTGGCCTGATGTGCTCGGGAAAACACAGGTCAAGAGTTGCTACGTGTGTTCCTCCAACATGTTCGACATGCAGTGTCCGCTGTTCTCCCCCAAGTGCTGGCGCGTCGAGCACGACGCCCTCAGTGGCTTCCCCAAGTGCTGGCAAGATTCAGACACGGCTGAGAGCACGACGAAATCACTTTGTCCTCGAAGTACTGGCGGCTGGAAGACCAGTGCGAAGTGCGCTGCTATCCGCGAAGTATTGGCACATTTCGGAAAGAGCCGACTGATGTTGCCCCTAATTTGCGACAACACCCGAAGTCGGTTCCCCCACGTGCTGCTTTGACCGCGTGGACTCGCGATCCAGTCGTTTTCCTGAATTTCAAAAGCTTTCGCTGGGCAGCCCGGGCAGCCTGGGGGTGTCCTAGGATTCAGACAACAGTGTAACCTACTCGCAAATTGGAAGGGATGGCGACCGCCAGAGCCTGGGCGACTCCGCCTGGATCACCCAGGCCGGACTAAGCAAAAGGTTGTGGCGGCCCGTTGTCAAGAAGCACTACGCATACCTCTTGAAATCTAACTCTTGAGAGTGGCCAGACTGCGCAACACACGTGATTGTGTCAGCGGCGCAGATAGGCAGCTTCAGAAACCCCGGTCCCAAACACATGCGTTAAGATGCTGTGAATGCCCAGGATTTGCTCGTAAACGTTTGGCTGACATACTGCATTGCCTTTCTCGTGTCTTTGACAACGTTTGCGCCAGGCCGACGAATTCCGCAGCCGCGGGAGGTCGTCGTGCCGGGGTGGCACGAGGCAGAAGGCTCGCAGGGCTGTGTGCATTCGCGACGTTTTGTGGAAGACGATCGTCAGTATCTTTGTTGTGAGAGGGGTCCCACGTATTCCCCGTGGCCACTACCACTTTGACTTCGTTGATTTCCTTGATGCTGTTACGTTTTATTACCGCTGCAACTAGGCACTGCGGTTACCACGACAAACAGCATTAGTTTCGACTTGACGACATGCGTGCCTGTAGTTCAGACCAGCCGCAAGCATAACTTTTGCATGCATTACCGGATGCAAGAACTTGTTATGTCATGATGTTAGGTGTGAATCTTGAACATTCCATCGCCATTGTATTCCAGTACGCAAGAAAGACACTTTGCCCAGATCCTCGACATGCTGCCAATCTGGCGCGAGGCACACTGCTGCTTTCGACAGAAAGAGTGTCTTTATAGAAGAAGGTTCTGCGTCTAAACAAGTGTGCAGTCTTTGTCGTAAATCAGGACCAGCGAAAAACACCTGGATATCTTGGATACTTCCGATGGTCGTGAGCTTGTGACACCCACGGCGAAAGATCAATAAAACATCTCAGCGCACAATTGGCGCAGCACTTCTCAGGGTGATGGCGCCAAGCTTCCAGGTTCCATGACATGAGTCTCAAGCAAAGTGTGACAGTGTGAGGAATGCAGTAAGTAGTAGATTTCATTCGCACCAGTACCACCGTTGCATTGCCATGCCCAGATGTGTGAGTGCAGGAAGCTGCCGAAGACCTCCGCGGTCGTGAGCTGCTGGAGGATTAAAAAGCGGGCATGTTGTGGCCGATAGGCTCTTTTTGACTGATTCACGCATCGCCTAAACGATCTAAACGGCCTGACTGCGAAACACACACGGCAGATGTAGGACGGCAAGGGAGCCTGATCGTGTTGTTTTTTCTCAAATCATCCCTTTTTGAACTCCCAAGAATGCCGAAGGGTCGTTGGATCCTCAATAATTTGTTTGCTTACAGATTCTGATTCCACACGGAATTTCGGATGGCAACGGAATCATTGATTCTGCGTACAGTGAAAATTTCATGAGGGTTTGTTCCTAGACAGGAATTTACCCGACAGATCCAGGTCGAGCGGTCGGCATCGCACCTTCAACCACAGAGTTTGCAAGCTGCAAGCTTTCCTAGCTTCTTGGCTCGCAGCAGCCGGGGCAATTGACTTTTCTCAACATGTCGCCGGGTGCTCGGATCGAGACGGCTTGAAGCATGGAGCATGGGGCAGTGACAAGACAAGGGTTGAACACTTGGACTTAGTGATGGAGTAAGAGCTTGATCGCAATTGTTGCACAGGTCGTTAGCACGTAAAATGACGAATTTGCAGATCACACATTGACAGCGGTCGGTAGCCCGAATCCCACCATGGTTGTCACACAGTGCTTTGGCAAGGTCTTTGGGCGAGTCCTTCTTGTTCACCGTGGTGGCTTTCCCAGCACCCATGCTCTCTTCATAAGGTAAAAGCCAGAAAGTTGGAATAGGGTGATCCTAAACCCTTTATGGTAAATTATAGGGATCCTACCATTAATCCATATTCCAACTTTCTGGAGTTCCCTTTAAAGACTCTCGTGCGAGCGTTGACCATGTTGAGGCTCCACCACAGCAGCCACCCAATGAAGAGGCAGCGCCGAAGGAGGCTGCAGCCTGTGGAAAAAAACCGTTCCTGCTGCTTGACAGGAACTGACGAAAAACAAGACTCAGGCTCAGGAGAAGGAGGAAGAAAAAAAGGTGGAGGAGGCAACTCGCGGACAGCTTCGGGGGGGGTTTTTGGAACGGCTTGACCATGTCGGCTGGTTCGGGCAGCCCCTCTTGTGCTCCGATAGGGATCAGCTTCGAGCTGCACGAGTGATGCGAAGACGAAGGCAAGACTGGAGAGCTCTTGTCCCCAATCCTCAGCTTAGCAAGCACATATAGGCATGAATCAAGCTTTGCGCAGGTTTCCGAAGCAGCAGATAAGCAGGAGGCAAGTCCGATCCGAAATCGCACCGATCACGGAGGAAAGCACTTGACCTTGACTTGACAGTTTGATGAGGCAGAGATGCACCCTTCTGACCACTTGAAGGCGCCAATCAGGTTGAGAGTGCGCTTTTGTAATTGTTAGTGGATTGAAGCCTTGCGACAGCAGAGCGACGGAGACGCAGAGACCTGCAGAAGAAAAATGAGAGAGCGAGTGAGTAAGTCAGTGAGTGAGTGAGTGAGTGTGGTGTGTGGGTGAATGGGTGGGTGGGTGGGTGGGTAAGTTGGCGAGTGAGTGAGTAGGTGTAGGGGTGAGTGAGTGGGTGGGTGAGGGAGTGAGCGAGTGAACGAGTCAGGGCGGGTGTGCGTTCATTGGTGAGTGTGTGTGTGTGTGTGTGTGTCTGCGCGTGTGTCTCCCTCTCTCTCTTTCTGTGTTCGTTTGTTTAGTTGGTATTTCTTTGATGTGTGCGTGTGTGCATGCTTTCGTTTGTGTCGCTGTGTGTGCGCTGTGCGACATGGTTCCGCGAAACGAGTCTGTCACGCAGTGGGATTCCACAGTCCACAAAACAGATTTGCAACATTGTGTGCTTCGTTATCGTTGAACATGTGCTATTCCATCTGATCGGATTCCACTTTCGAACGTTCTTTGACGGTTTCTCCAGTGTCAGGGCCAGAAAAAAACTATGAAAGCCGGCGCCCAAGACCCAACACGACAGCAGCCTCTTCGCAATCCGTTGCAGCCCTTGCAGATGCATCTACAGTTTGCCGTCACATCCATGAAGCCTTCGGGGTAAGTTCTATCTTTGGCGAGGAAGGTGCACAGTGATTGCCGCATTATCTGCCACACACTTCTTGTAGGACCACGCTGTGCGCAGTGATTGCCGCATGATCTTCCGCACAATTCTTGTACGAACACCCGGGTGACACGACATCTAGTACAGCCAACGATTACCCAAGAGGACCTTCTGGCCTGGTGGCAGCGACTCAGCCTCCAGCGCCTTGTTGCATTTTCCGATTAGGGTTCTTTCTTATGCTTAGACTATGAGTTGCTATAGTATTACAGCCGCAACCTTATTCTAATTATTACGGAGTGCTGGTGCAGCTCTTGACCGTGTGGTCGCAGCATGAGCTTTCGCTGTGGCTCATCACATCATCTTTCACCTGCATAACATGGACAGTAAGAGGGCAATGATTCGCTTGGCGAGCAGGTTTAGGTTTTGAGCCTCCACCTCAAGCTCATCCCCCCCAGAGTAAAGGGGGATAACGGCATACCGTCGAAAGTCGTGTTGGATCCCTGTGGCTTATGAACTCATAGTTGCGAGCCAACTTGTTCTAGGAGACGCAGCTTCAAACAAAGATGCCACCCTTTATGGGCCATCCCTGACCACTATACAGAACCTACCAGGCAAAGGGATGTCCTGACAAGGTACCTTATTGAAAGGTCAGACGCAAACTGAAGCTGCGTGCTTGTGTGCATCATGTAAATGCAGACAAACTGACACGAAAACTTCAGATGGTTCCACGACTCACAGCGAACATGGCCAACCACCAGCACCTGGGGTTCACACTACTTCCAACTACGCCTGCAAAACTGCGACTTCTGCTTCCTACCAACGCCTTGACTCTAAACCCCACCTGTCGGTCACAACAAAATCCCAACCTAAGTGGGTTACAAGGATCGTGTGTTGCTTAGGCGCGCTTGGAGTGTAGGGAGACCCCCAGCGCCAGACAGACGATGCCAGTGCGTATTACGTGCAAGGAAACAAAAAACACACGGAGGTTTACGGTCTTCCAATCCTTTTGTTGTAGCCGTTGCAGCATCGCATCCTGGACGCATGCATGTGACCAACCGTGTTCAATGTAGAGTTGGACGTTCATAGGGTCTAAGTCTAGGGTTTGGGGACGTTTATTCGTGTCCGACTGTCGCCCTGTTTGGCGAGACCAACGCAGCAAACATTCAAGATCGCCGCTCATCTGCTACAGTTGCATGGTCGAAAAACATCTGAGGCTAGAAAGAGCCCATGAGCCCTGCATGGACCTCTGGAGCAGTGGCAAAGGGGGGTTTGGTCTTGGCTTGCGCCTAGATTCGCGGAACAGATCAACACAAGCTTGTCACACGCTGGGGTTTGGGGTGTATTGGGAAACCTTGTGGAAATGCGACATGCTTCAGACATTGCCAGAAGGCACGCCAGCCCCAATCAAAGCTGGCCATGACCAAGCCCCGGCTGCAGCCTTGCTGTGACGTCCATGCGGTTTTGTTATGGCCTTCATTCTGTTTCAATGTCAGTCCGCCGAAGAGACCTGCCCAAGAAGCGTCCACAGCATGGCAGAGCACTTCTGATGCATCCCTGTGTTTCATATAGGAACGAGACGTAGGGTATCTCCGTCGGCGAGGTTGGCACCTTGGAGAGAAGACAAACCGAAGTTAAATTGACGTGGCAGTAGTCACAGCTTTTGACATTCTCGGGACTAGACTCGAATCCTTAGATCCGGGGCACTGAACCCCAGACTCTATATAAACCTTATGGAGCGTGTTTTTTGGCAGCTGGCGGTGAAAAGACGTCAGAAGTCGCAGGTATGGGTGTCGACACATACAAAATTGCGTAGTTTGTGCTGGAGTTTTGAAGGCTTCAGGGTTTCGGGTTGAGGGTTTGGGCAAGATTTCGCGATTCTTCGCGCACAGTTCCATGGAGCACCTGGCATCAACCTCGGTCCCCGATCTTTAGGGCACTAATGAAGGCCGGTTTTCGGGTTTACAGTAGGCTTGAGGGTTTAGCGTCTAGAGTCCGCGCTTCCAGGTTTTGGGGCTGTTTGGCTTGTTCAAGTTTATGGTTGTTGTCCGCTGGTGCGGTTTCTGGGTTGCCAACACTTAAAGGCTCATGGGACTTAGTAAGTAAGGTTATAAGCAGGTTATAATTATAACCTACTTACTAAGTCCCATGATCCTCTAAGCAAGGATGTGGTGCCTTTGCGCAGCTTTCAGAGGACTATGCTTTTGACCGCTACTGTTGTTGTCTTGGCAAGGGTGTTTCTTGACTTTAAAGTAAAAGCCAGAAAGTTGGAATATGATTATCCTAAACCCTTTATGGTAAATTATAAGGTATCCTACCCTGAAACCATGTTCCAACTTTCTGGAGTTCCCTTTACCCTGAAGATCAGGCCTGCAAACTATAGTGGCTCTTTGTTTGGCATTTGGCTTCTTGCAGCTTTCCATGCCACCCCATGCACACACACACACGGACACTCAAGAGCGTGGCCGAAACCGTGAATTAAACCTTAAACCTTAAGCCAGAAACCGTGGAGCTTTGAACCCTTAAGCCTTAACTCCCTACACACTTCGGCATACATACATATATGTATTCTTATATATATATATATGTATATATGTATATATGTATATATGTATATATGTATATATGTATATATATATATATATATATATATGTGTGTATATATATATACACATACATATACATATATACATATATACATATACGCATACATATATACATATATGTATTCATATATATATACACACATATGAATACACTTATGTATCTATATGTGTATAGATATGACTCTCTCTCTCTCTCTCTCTGTCTACATGTTTATATACAAGCATGACTTTGGGTGTATATATTTTTCTTTAACTTTATACAGCCATATAATACTCATAACTGTATTGTATCGTTATAGTATATGTATACGCACATGCATAAACATATACATATGCATATACAAACGCCGCTTCAGCGCTTCAAGAGCCCTGGCCTCCGATGCGCTGAGCAGAACCGACTCCTCTGGCTCGGAGTCGGAGTTTGAGAAGGAGGCGGGGTCCCTTTAAAGGATCTATAGGGGTCCCTTTAAGGGATCTATAGGGGTTACTATAGGGGTACTATCAGTGTCTGGGTTTAGGGGTGTAGGGTAGAAGGAGGCGAGGAAGCCCTGAAGATGGAGGGTTTGAAGCCTAAACCCTAAACCCCAAACCCTTTTAGGGATTAGTTTTCTAAGGTTCAGGGCTCAGGGATTAATGTTTAGGGTTTAGGGTGTTGTTTCTTATTGTTAACTTTATTTCTTTATGTTTTGGGTGTTTTTACTGTTTTCATGCTTGGCAAGTTTTTCACGACACCGTTCCCTGTTCGGCTTGTTGTTACATGGTGCTTGCAGAATGACTGCTCCTGAATAGATTTAGAGGTTTTCAGTTTGCATTTAGGAATCGGCTGTCCAGATGTGTGGTCGGTTTTCAGCCGTTTCGCATTTACTTTTCTGTGTTGTGCTTTTCGGTTTTGCCAGGGTTGGAATTTTTGCACGGTTCTTCTGGGCACTGGGCATTGTTGACACATGGGCTGTCTTGGGGTAGCCTCCTCCACAAATGCGATGCGTCGTGTCGTGATAGGGTTTCTTGCTGGTGGATTTTGTAGCGCCCACCCTATATCATGCACGGGCAATAGGCAACTGCGGATGACCGTAGTATGGAGTAATTTCGCAAAATGTTTGCCTTGGTCTCCTGCGAAGGGGTTTGAATTTGGAATGAATGCAAGAATTTTGGGAATGTCCTGTCAGCAACAAACCCGATGCACGACAGCACGACATGCTAAACCAGTCAAAAACCTCTAAGTGCAGCCTTGGACGCCAGGTTTAGGTTCTTGTGATTCTCTGTACCTGGATTGAGAAGAGGTCCTTTCGAATCCCCCCAAAAGGGACGGTACCCTGAAGATAAAGCCTTGACTGCGAGAGCACGAGCCCTCTCCAAAAAGCCCTAAACCCTAAACCTAAACCCATAGAACATGTAGACTCCGCTGTTTCCGACATCCTCAGCCCGAAGCCCAAACAGCCGTCGAAGTAGGGTTCTACACCGCTGACCAAAAACACTGCAATATTGCGACAGCAGTTGTCATCATAGTAATATGCATTCTAATTGTAACTTGTAACAGTAACTAGCCAAGACAAGAAAGTTGCTTTAGATAGCCAGGTGAGTACTTGCAGTGGCCGAGAAAGGAACGCCGACACCCGCCTTGGTTTACGTCTCTCTATTCTCTTCCCAGACCCCCGGGAGGATCTAGAAAGTAGATCCCCTAATTTGGGGCCCCATACTACTATAGGGTACTTTATAGGAACCCCCATTAAGGGATCTACTTTTTGGATCCTCCCGGGGGTCTGGGTTGTTATTTCTTGCGATCACCACAGCTTCGTTTGAGAGGAGTCTGCGACGAGTTTACGCTGACAGTCAAGGCAAATGAAGGGTGCCCTTTTCGCTCGCTTCTTTGTGTTGCGGTCGGGTCGATTAAGGGTTTGGAGCTTCAGGTTTACAGGTTTCGGGGTACGGGCAAAGTTCGTTGCCTGTCACTGTTGTTTATCATCTTCGAGCTTAGTGCAAGTTTGTCATGCTGAGACGTTTCGGCCGAGGCCCGATCTTACATCCTCCTTCATATACACTTGTTGTGTACAGCTTTCGGCTAGCGATGCCGCTGATCACTGTTTCGGTGATGGTTCACTTGCTCCTCTTTGGCATGTCAGCATCCGATGAGTTGTCGAGCTGCGTGGGTTGCATCCATGACGAGAACATGCTGTTGCAAGCAGTGAAAGCACAACATCGCTGGCGCCGTCGTCGATGGGCTCCCTGGCGCTTCGGCCGCTACGGCCGCCATTATGGCCGCTACTATGGCCACTATTACGGCCCGAAGACTACCACGGAGAGGACCACTTCCGCAAGCCCGACCACCACCACTACCAGTAGCACCAACGCCATCGTGTGTACTGGTGGCAATGCTAATGAAGGGCAAGGCCAGGAGCTTCGCGCTAATCCCAACCCTGCCCAAAACATCATCACGATCAATTCAAGTGTGACGAGCCCGGAATGTCAGTGCGTGGGGGGCACAAGCGGTGATACTCTTGTACCCGGCTACTTGTCCATTGTGGCTGGCCCCCTTTCGGATTTTGATGAGGTCCGCTTCATCTCCGTCACCAGCCCTAACGGGACGGAGATGAACTTGACAACAATACTTGCCACCGACAGGACCCGTCCATTCAATGTTGCCGGCACGGTGGCCTTCAACGGATTCTCAGCCATTGGCGGTTGGGTTACTAGGTGGCAATTTTGGAAACCTTTTGGTTTCCTGGTTCCTCTAGAGGTACCAATTCGAAAATACTTTCAAGAGGCCTAAAACTACAACCCAGGTTATCAAGTTGCTGGATGGCAGTGGCAACCTTGCCACCTCAAAGGCTTCTGTGGCGATTCTGAGGTTTGGTCTACAGCCTTGCGATCGAATCAAGCCGGCGGCTGATTGCTTCGGCAACATGTTTAGTGGAAAATTCGCGTTCTTTTACAATCAGTCTCTAGTGGGCACCACTCTTTCGGCTACCGAGACGGCTGTGCAATTTCATGCGGACCTGCCGGCCGCATGTTGTGTCGCTGCAGTCTCCCCGTTCATGCAGTTACAGTTCAGCAACAGTCCACCGATTAGTGGCATCGTGAGTGCTGATGGTCGCAGCCCAGACCCAGATGGCGCAAATCTTACCATGACTGGAGAAGTCCAGGCCGAGAGTGGTCTTCGCACTGTGAATTTGCCTACTCAGCCGCCCGTTGCTGGTAGTGTGGCAACCGGACTATGGAATTTCAACATCTCCACGGCTGGTTTTGAAGCAGTCATCGGCAACACTCTGCGAGACCCTCTGCTCATCATCATTCTGGAGCCTTGCTCATAGGTCAAAGATGTGCTGAATTCAATTGCACCACAAAAGGCGTGGAGTGGGCCCTCGAGCTTGCCACCATAACTACTACTACTACTACTACTACTACTACTACTACTACTACTACTACTACTACTACTACTAGTACTACTACTACTACTACTACTACTACTACTACTACTACTACTACTACTACTACTACTACTACTACTACTACTACTACTACTACTACTACTACTTCTACTACTACTACTACTACTGCTACTACTACTACTACTGCTACTACTACTACTACTATTACTACTACTACTACTTACTACTACTGCTACTACTGCTACTACTACTACTACTACTACTACTGCTACTACTACTACTACTACTGCTACTACTACTACTACTACCACTACTACTACTACTACTACTACTACTACTACTACTACTACTGCTGCTACTACTACTACTACTACTACTACTACTACTACTACTACTACTACTACTACTACTACTACTACTACTACTACTACTACTACTACTACTACTACTACTACTACTACTACTACTACTACTACTACTACTACTACTACTACTACTACTACTACTACTACTACTACTACTACTACTACTACTACTACTACTACTACTACTACTACTACTACTACTACTACTACTCTACTACTGCTACTACTACTACTACTACTACTACTGCTACTACTACTACTACTACTACTACTACTACTACTACTACTAGTGCTACTGCTACTGCTACTACTACTACTACTACTGCTACTACTACTACTACTACTGCTACTACTACTACTACTACCACTGCTACTACTACTACTACTACTACTACTACTACTACTAGTGCTACTGCTACTGCTACTACTACTACTACTACTACTACTACTACTACTACTACTACTACTACTACTACTACTACTACTACTACTACTACTACTACTACTACTACTACTACTACTACTACTACTACTACTACTACTACTACTACTACTACTACTACTACTACTACTACTACTACGAACACCACTCAAAAGCGCAGGTTGCCCAGAGCCCTGCTTTTTTGCGGGGGGACAACAGGCGAGTTCGGGCCCCAGGGTTTAGGGGTTTAGGGGTTTAGGGTTTAGGGATGAAGGGATTTAGGGGTTTAGGGTTTGGAGTTTAAGGATTTTGGGGTTTGGGTTTAGGGTTCAGGGTTGAGGGCTTTAGGGTTTAGGCTTTAGAGGTGCGGTTGGTTGGTTTTGGGTTTCGGGTTTAGTCCTGCGCTGAACCCCCAGATCCAAGGAAACCGAAGCATAACCATTTGTAGCCCTTCTTTTGTCTAGGGTTTGCTTTGCCTTGAATTGCTCTCGTTTTTTTTGGGTTTCGGGATTCTGTCATGTGTTAAACTCGAGTGTAGGCTTGTTGGCTACGGTCTTGCATCTTTGGGGTATATAGCATACTACATGCATTGCCCTTCTCTGAGATTTCGATGGTCGTCGTTTGACAGTGCTCGCAGACAACAAAACAAAAGGTCTTGACAGCTTTTGTGCAGTTATGCTCAACGGTTTACGGTTTAGTGGCTGAGGCTTTAGGGTTTAGGAGTTGGGGTTTAGAGTCTAGAGGCTCAGGCTTACTCTCATATGCGTGTCGTACATGTCGCAAGCAGTATATCCTACGCCAAAGCTTTGAACGAGTTATTCTGTCCCAGGCAGAGCACATGTACGATTTGGAAGCCTGCTGTCGGGCAATCAAAGACCTCTAAAGCCCCTACATCCTAAACCCTGGACCCAAAGCCCAAGCCCAAAACCCAAAACCCAAAACCCTGAAAACAAAACCCTGAGCAAACGGGAGCCCGATTTCTGGAAGCCCGAAACTGGCACGGGCATCAGGTTCTGAGTAGACAGCCTATCGGCGTGTTGTTTCACTTAAACTCCAAACCCCAAAACCCTAAACCCCTCAAGAATCGTAACCGCAAACCCTCAGCCCACTCAGGAGTGTAGGTTGTATGGAAGCCTGCCATTCTTGCAGACACCTTGGAAAGACAAGACAAACCGAAGTCAAAAGGACGTAGCAGTAGTCACAGCAGTTGACCGTTTCGGGGAAGCCGTAGACCCGAACCTGTAGGTCATAAACCCAGATCCGGGGCACTGAACGCCACACCGAACACAACAGGCTGCGAGTTTTCCGCAGCTGTCGGTGAAAAGATGTCAGAAGTCGCAGGTTTGGACGTCGACGCAAAAAGGATTGCTTACTTCTTTTTAGTTTGGAGGCCTTTTGGGTTTCGGATACAGAGGTTGTAGGAAGTTTTCCTTATAATGCTTCGTGTGAAGGAGGTTCTCTTTGACTCAGACAGCGCAGCACCCGGCATAAAAACCTCTGACCCCGATCCGGACACCCGGCGGTCGAGGGTTTTCGGTTCAGTGCCTAGAGTCTGCACTTTCAGGTTGTGGTCTCTTTGGTTTGGGTCAAGTTTGTGAGGGTTGTCCTTGGGGTGATCGGAGTTCAATCCCCAAGGGGATTATACTTCTGACCACTACTGTTGTGGTCCTTGCCGGGGTGCTTCTTGAAAGCGGGCTCTTTCAAGGCGCTTAGGACCAGACCCCACCCTGAACATGAGCCTGGCAAGCTGAAGTCGCTCTCTGTTTTGCATTGTGCAGCTTTCCATGCCACCCCACACACGCAGACACCTTCAAGCAGTTTCACAAGAAGAGCAATACTACTCAGGTTGGGGACTAGGATTTAGTTTCAGGGCAGTGTTCAGGTCTAGACTATTCGAGCCCAAAACAACAGCCCAAGAGCACTGTGCCGCAGTCATGGCAGCAGCACTAAACCATCACGAGAACCATGAGCCCCAAAACCTAGGGTGCCCAGTAGTACCTAGGTACCCTTATTCCCTTTTTGTAGTCCTAGGTTCCTTATAAAGTTACCCAATACCAAAAAGAGAGGCCTTTTTATTCTTAGGTTACTGGGTATCCTAGAACCTGAACTGAAGCCAACAGATGCAAACCTTGCAGGGATTCCTTTAGAACCCATGTAAGGCGCACTCAGCACTTTGAGCTCTGCCTCACCTTCAAACCCAACCTCCCTTTCCCCTCAAGCCATAGACCCTGCAACCCTAAATTCTGAACCGAACCCCAGCTCGCTTAAACTCCCTAAAGCTTTAAGCCCGTGTTATATCAATCTATCTATTTTTATGTTAGTCTCTATGCAGCTGTAAATGTTATATGAATGAATATACATATATATATATACATATATATATATATATAGATACATATATGTATATACAAACATCTAGAGCCCAGTTATACACATATAGTATATATAAACACCGCCGACGCCACCTCGCGAGCCATGGCCTCCGACGCGCTGAGCAGCTCCGACTCCTCGGGCTCGGAGTCGGAGTTTGAGAAGGAGGCGGGGTCCCTTTAAGGGATCTATAGGGGTTACTATAGGGGTACTATCAGTGTCTGGGGTTTAGGGGTTCAGGGGTTTAGGGGTTTAGGGGTGTAGGGTTTATGTCGCAGTTTAGGGTTTAGGGCTTTGTTTGGAGGGCTCCGCCCTGAAGTTGTAGGGTTTTACGGCTGAGGGTGTAGGGTGTTGTTCTTTTTTGTTGTGCTTTTTGAGGCACGCAAGCTTTGAAGTTGTGGGGTTTCTAGGGTTTTTAGGCTTGGGGTTTAAGTTTAAGGTCAAGACAGTGTTTCCTGTTCGTCCTGTGAATTCTCATGCGGGGCCAGTAGTGGATGACTGTAGCAATGAGTAACATCGCCTGATTTTTCTCTCGCTGTGTTGTGTATGGGATCTGAGTTGGGGAAAAGCATGTTTAAACTCGGTGAGTGTCCTGCCAGAAACACACCCGATACACGACAGCACGAAATGTTAACCTACTCTAAAACCCGCTATCGCAGCCTTGCATCGCAAGGCTTAGAATCTTGTGATTCCATGTTCCTTTCGAATCCCCCAGCCGTGTACGGTACTCTGACGATGAAGCTTTAACCGCGAGAGCAACCGCAACCCTGAGCAGGAGGCCAAAAGGGGTTTCAGCCTATGGGGGTTAGGGATCCCTAGGGTTCCTTTAAAGGGATCTATAGGGGTTCCTTTAAAGGGATCAAAAAGGGGATCATAGGAGGCCACAAGGGTTTTTAGCCTATGGGGGTTTAGTAGGGATTAGGGTTCCCATAATAGGGCACATATTTAGGAATCCCTAACCCAAGAATCTTAAACCCCCCTTTTGGCCTCCCATCACTGCACAACGTTTCTTTTTGCAGCTGCAGAGCACACTTTTCCCAGCCCTAAACCCTAAACCCTAAACCCTAAAGCCCAAACCCTGGGCCCTAAGCCCTAAACCCTAAGCCCTAAACCCTAAAGCCCAAACCCTGGGCCCTAAACCCTAAAGCCCAAACCCTAGGATGCTGAGCTCTGAGCCTTCAGCCCAAAGTCCGAACGGCGGTAGAGGCAGGGTTTCACACCGATGACCCCAAAACCACAATAGCAACTGCAGAAGTGGGAGTTTCCGAAAATTAGGGGTACCTTATTTGGGGGTCTACTATTTAGGGTACTTTATTAGGGTCCCTCATTTTCGGAAACTCCTAAGTAGTGATAAGCATACTAACAGTAGCGAAGACAAGAACAATAAGTTAGATAGCCATGAAAAGTCACATAGTGGCATTGACGTCATTGCTCAGGATGTTGATAATCGCTTAGTTTGGTTTAGGCTCTTCATACTCCTGCTATTTCTTGCAATCGCCGTGGAGAGGAGTCTGCGACGAGCATACTGGACACGGCTGGGAAACCACAGCTCACCGTCAAGGTAACGGGAGGGTGCCCGTTTTGCTGGCTTCGCTTTGTTGTGCGGTAGGGCTTATAGGTTTTATGATTGAGCCCTAAACCCTAAGCCCTAAACCCTATAGTTTTTCGGGTCAAGGATTGGGGGTTTGGAGCTTCAGGTTTCGTTAGGGACGACGTAGTACAAGGTTGAGTAGGATTCAGAGTTTCCGTTTACTATGTTTGACAATCCTCAAACCATAAACTCTGAACCCTAAGCCCCAAGACCCTACATCCCTAAGCCCCAAACCCGAACCCCTAAGCCTAAGCCCCAACGCCTTAAGCCCCAAAGCCCTAAACTCTACACCCGCCTGATGGCCCCAGGCCGTGGCCGGGGGGATCGTTGCAGGATGCTGCGGCTCCTTCCTTGCCGTCTACTATGGCTTGAAGACAGTTACTAGGTAGGGCTTTGGGACATTTTATATTTTCCCTTATTGGGCTTAAGAGGATCCTATTTACTAATATTTTTCAAAGGCTTTAAAAGCCCCACCTAGGTTACTTGAAGGATCAGAAGGCTTAGTAGCTTAAAGGCTTCCTTCAGAAAGAAAGGGTTCCTTAAGGGTAGCTAGGTCACTTGAAGGAAAAGGGGACTTTGTAACTTAACGGTTTCCGGAAAGGGAGCCACAAGGGTTTCTGATGATGTTTCTATAAATCACGGAGCTTCGTAAAACGGGTTATCAACAAGGCAACTATAGTTTTACACTTACTTCTAACCACAATGAAGGGCGTGACGCCGTCATTGAACATCATCTCGGCGCTCTTGGGCTTTGCAGCGGTGCGACTGATCCAGAAGTCTGGCATCTCCAAGGGTGACTACACCCCACAGGAGATCGGGGTGTCCGTTTATGGCGAGGGTTTCAGGCTTGCCATGCGTCGCCACTCCACCTTGAACCCCAGACGCTGAACCCTGCGGGCCCCCGAGACCTCAAGCCCTAAACCCTAAACCCACAAACCCGAAATCCTTTAACCTCAATTCAAAACTGAAAAACACTAAACCCTAAATCCTTTGCCTTAAACCCTGAACCCTGAACGAAATCCTCAGCCAGGCTTTCAAGCAGGGCTAAACTGAAGATATGCCCACTCCGGGCAGCGGACTAAACATCGAAAATCCCGACGCCATTAGAGATATGCCGCATCAGCAGAACCCGCTATCTGCTACCTTCAACACCAAGCCCTAGACCCGCGAAGCCCTTCATAGTAACCTGATAGCATTGGTAGCAGTCCTAAGCCTTAAATATTATGCCCTAAATTCTTAGATCCGTTTGAGCCGGTGGAAACGAGGGGTTGTCCAACTCGCCTGTCCCGTCCGGCCCATGAGGGAGTTTCTGAAAATTTGGGGGTACCTTGTTTTGGGGTCCTTATAATAAGGATCCTACTAAAGGAGCCCTATGAAAACCAGGAGACCTGTGTCATCCAGACCATGGCCGTGGCCTGCACGGAGGTGCGCTCGAGCTGGCTCCAGGAAAATGCAGCTGTGGAGTTATAGGGTTTAGGGTTTAGGGGCATGATAGGGTTGATGTAGGGGCCTTAATAGATAGAATGGGGGGTTGTGGGGTTCCTTAATTATTATAGTTGCATACCCGCAGCACAGCTTCACTTCAAGGCTTGCAGATTTGGATGATCGGTCTAAGGTCCAGAAGGCTTCCACGATTGTCCATGAGTTCCAGGGTCTGGGGTCCCCACAGCCGAAGCCCGCTAAGCCCAATCTCCAGACCCCACCGCAAAGCCCTCAGCCCCGAAACACTCGAGCCGGAAGTTGCGCAGCCAGACAGCTACTCTGTTGAACGCGAGGATCTTCCCCAAGGCGTTTTATGATTTAGAAAGACTCCCAAAAGGAGCTGCAGGATTCCTTAAATGGCTTTCCCGGGGGCTCCTTTGCGGGCGCGGAGGTGGCCTCGGCCTCCGGATTCTCCTCAGGACTCCTTGGGATGACCCGCGAGGCACGCTTTTTTTTTTTTTTTTCTTGCGGCTTTGTGTTCTATTCTAGCATGTTTGTGTGTCTTTATGGCTGTCTTTGTGTATGCGTTTGCTTGTTGTGTGCTTGTCTGTATGTGGGTGGTGTTATGGTTCCTTTTTGGGTACCCTAAATAATAGGTGCCGCATTAAAATAAGAGCCCAAAAAGGGACCATAATTTTGACAACCACCCATGTCTCCCTAAACCCTAAACCCTTTATAGAACCCTTATAGATCCCCTTAAGGAACCCTTTAAAGGGACCCAAGAGGGCACCCGGATGTGGTTTTGCACTGTTCTGGGTGAGCTTGGGCTGCCAGGCTGCTGAGCTGACAAAGATCCCTGGCAGTATCCTGGCTCCTGTCAAGGAACGGTGTAGGGTTATAATATGGGTTATACTAATTTAGTGAAAATATGGGTGAGAATTTAGTTATAATATGGGTTATCATTTAGTTATAATGTTATAGGGTTGCGAGCTTCAGAGCTTGGGGTTTACGGTTCGCGGTTTGGGGGTTGCGGTTGGGTTTGTTTGCGGTTCGGGCTTGTTTGCATTTCAGGTTATATTCTCGAAAGCCCATTTACAGTACAGATATCAGATAGTCACAGATAGTCATCTCGATGTGGTGGGTATCCAAGGTAGCCTTACCGACGTGGTGGACCTACCTCTCGGCAAGACCATGCTGTGGAGTTGCTCTTCACTTTCCAGAACATTTTTCATTTTGGAAGCGGGTCGCTATTGTTTGTAGGCTGTTCAGCACGTTTTTCGGCTTTAGGGTTCAACTTTGATCCAGGAGTGTATGTAGGCTTGGACTGGAAGGTAGCTCCATTGCCTTCTTCGGCCTCTTCATCGCTTTCCCCCTGCGGAACTACTGCATCATCGAGCGCAAGCTGCTCTTCCCCAGCGGCACCGCCAGGGCCTTAGGGCTTCTTTCCGTAGGGAAGTTATAAGTAATGAGGGTCCTACACACATGATAGAGGCTTTTAGAATGGAACATAGGGTGCCTTCTATTCCCCTAATAGAACCTTAAACCCTGAACCCTAAAACCGTAATTTTGAACCCCAAGAGCGAAAAAAGGCCACGGCCACGGTGATCCGCACCTTGCATGCGGACCCTTCGCACGTGCGGAAGAGCTTGAAGCTCTTGGCTCTCTTTGCAGGCCTCAAGATCTCATGGTTTAGAGTTTAGGGTGCCGGCTTCGTTAGGGTTCTTAAGAGGGGTCCCTAATCTCGAGAACTACCCAAATCCCTACAGGCATCACCTGGGCTTGGAGCATGTTCCTCTGGACTTTCCAGGGCCTGGGAGAATTTCCCCTCTTCGGCTTGGCGGCGGCTAAGTACGGCTGGCAGATGGACTGGGACCTCTCGCAGTTTGCTATCGGCACCGAGGTCCTTCAAGAGTAGCTTTGTTTCGGCCCAGAGGTTTCGCACCTTAATCGTGTTCAGGACATACGTAAGCATCAGGGTGCAGAGTTCCTTGTCCCCTTCTGCTTTTGGGTGCCATTTGGCGTTTTTTCCCAACGTCCTGAGTCGCAAATCCCAAACCCTTGAAGTACTCAACAAGCCGGGGGCAACACGAACAAGAACAAGAGCAGCAGCAGAAACAACAACAAGCACCTTCGTGATACCGTCCATTAGACATCCAAGGTTCATGCTTCCTTTAACCCCTACATGAACCCTACGAGACCTTAAAGAACCCTTAAGGAACCTTCTGAAAGAGGCATAAGCGCTGCGAAAGATGCAAGGAAGAGCTGAAACGCCTGTTGCAGGGAAGCGAGACCTCGCGTGACACTTAAAGAACCTGAAAGGAAACTCTTGAGCCCTAAACCCGAAGCTACGTTTTAGAGTCTTTCGGTCTAAAGGGGGTTGGAGGCCCTTCTAAAGAGGCATTTCATATTATATCATATCAGATTATATTATTTTATAGTGTAGTAGAGTAAAAGTCATTGTCGAATTTGATTTTATACCATACTATACTATGCTTTATCCATGCTATACTCTACTATAGACCCTCTAAAGAGGCATGCTCCTGGGCCCCAACATCAACCTCTCCATCCTCCTGGGCGGCTTCCTGGGGAGTGGGCTCCTGGGTCCTTGGGTGCAGAGCAACCACCAGTGTGATGCCTCACTGAAGGGCGCCGGGAACCCGTCCTGCTGGTGGGGGGGGCCTTTCAAAATTTATGTTTTCCGGGCTTGGGGTGTTGGTTGAAAGCTGTAGGCCTTGTGGTTTAGCACATCCCAGGTGAAACCCTGGACCCGTCACCCCGGTCCAAAGCTTGTACACAGTACTAGAGGAGGTCTAATTTCTAGAGCTGCCTAGCCGCACGGCGATGTGGCCTCATTTCTCTGACAGCTGACGCAGGTACTATTCCGATGCACCCAAGTATTTAGACATGAAGGCTTACACCCTGTTCCCCGGTATTGCCATGGTAGTGGTTGATGGCTTCTATTCCATCGTCAAGCTCATCTTCATCGTGATCAAGGGCTTCACGAGGCCCAACTCTTACTCAAACGCTGGGGCCGCAGAGGACCGCATCGCGTCAAAACTGTGCTTGAACCCTCAACTCAACCCAAGCCCTTAACCTTACCCCAAAACCCTAAGCTGCCTTTGAACTCCATCGTTTGAAGCCCGAGTCCTGAACCAAGCCCTTCCAGAACCCATGTGAAAGCCATTGCCACTATAAGCCCACTCGCCAAAGCAGCAAAACACACCTGACCCTAAAACCCCCAACAAAAAAAATGCAACAACTTCGAATCCCCAAGAACCCAAAAAGGTGGATGGAACCCCTAAATAGAACCCCCCCCCCCCAAGAGAGATTTCGTGGAACCCCTAAATAGAACCCCCCCTCCCCCCCCCCCCCCAAAAAAAAAGAGCCCCTTTGAGGAAGGCGTGGATGACCTCACTACGCAGCGGGAGCTGATCCGGATCTTCACGGGTGCGAAGATCCCTCCATGGGCTTACATCGGAGGCTACGGGTGCCATTTTTTTTGTTGCTGAGGTGGTTTTGGGGTTTTGGGGGGTGCCATTTTTTTTGCTGTTGAGGTGGTTCTGGGGTTTTGGGGCAGGTTTAGGGGGATTTTAGGGGCCGTTGTTGAAACGGATGAATCACAGGGTTTTATTTGTGTGTCAGTGTGTCTTTAAGGTTTTAGCTGGTTTTATAGGTCTTGTCGGGTTTCATAAGGGTTGTCGCAGGCCGGAAGGAGTTGAACATGTCCGTGATTGGGGGTTGGGTTTTGGGTTTCATTTGGTCTATTTTGATAGGACAAAATCAGCATCTATCGGAGGCTATTTCGTGGCCATCACATTCTGCATCTGCATGGTGACCTGGCTCTTTGGCGTCGTTTGGTGGCAGGTCTTGATGGCCAATCTGCTGACACCGATCTTCGCCGTGGGCATCATCATCGGCATGGGTATGACCCTTCTTTCGACAGAAAGGGTACTCTTTTTGACGTAAGGATTGTAGCTGATGTGACGTGCCCAGTCCCGTTCTATTATGGTCCTTCACACCATAGGGTGTAGTCTCGAACGCAGTGAGTCTTGGACCTGTTCGCACCGTGGTTGTTGGAGTTCGATCAGGTTGTACCCTGTGGTTAAAGAACCCTAAACCCTAAACCCAAAACCTAAACCCTAAACCTTAAACCTGGTCCACCGCATGAAATCCGGAACCTAAAACCTAAAACCTCAAGTCCCCCTGCGACCCTTCTTCAAGCCCTGAAGCTCCAAACTTCAAAATCCGAGCCGTAATATAGGGGCCTCGATAATTACCAATACCATTTTGGGGGGCTCCTTATTGTAGCTATACTACAATGGGCCCCAAAACCCTATTCTAATTATTAAGGTCCCTAATTCCCTAATAGTAATCGAAGAAGTCGCCTCCTTTCTGCAAGAGAGCCGAGGACCGATTGGAACGTCTCCAGCAGCTTCGGAAAGCTGATGATGTTCCCGCTGGGCATGCTGAATCACGGCGGCTCCGTCATCCCGTCTGCTGGCCATGAGTTTTAGATTTCAGGTTTGGGGCTTCCCTAAACCCTAAACCCCTAAACCCTAAACCCCTAAACCCTAAACCCTAAACCCTCTAACCCTATAGATCCCTTAAACAGAGCCCCTTAACGGAACCCTATAGATCCTTTGAAGGAGCGCTTTGGAGTTCACAAGGGTTTCGTAGTGTTGAGCCTCTGGGTTAGTCTAGAAGGGATAGGGTTCTGAGGCCCGAGGTTTAGGGTTCAAGCTTCGGATTACGTTTCGGGATTCGGGCATCAATGCCTGTTTGCGGGGTCTGGGCATCAATTTCGCCGACGACCTGAGTTGCTTTGCACTAAATCGTGAGGAGGAGTTGGAAGCTTGCTGCCACACAGCTTCGCCCCAAGCCACGAACCGCTTAGGTTACAGTCCCGCAGCTCCGAGGGGGCCCTATGTCGAGAATCCCGAGCCTGAGACCTGAAGCCTTACAAATCAACGAATGCCCCGCCATAACGGAGTTCAAGCACGCAGCATAGTTTCCAGACCATCCCGAGCCTAGAAGGTCTCTGGCCGTCTGTATGATCACCATCAGCGGCTGTGGCAATGCAGCGGCGCTGATGCAGGTCTCTTCCCGAAACCTTCGATTTCAACTGGGTTTCTTCGACATCTTTTCGGAATTCTGGTTCTGTTTCGATTCTGGCTTGTGTAGCCTGATTGGGTGTGGCGGCAATGTTCTTGGATCAGACCCTCAACCCCCAGCTACGGTCCTGAAGCCGCAAGCCCTAAACTAAGCCTGAAACCCTGGACCCTAAAGCCCTAATCCCTCATTATGGAAACCCTATAAAATCATACAGATCCTTCTAAAGGTACAAGCCGAACCACTTCACCCTGAAACCGTCAGCCGCGAGTTGACAAGCACAGAAATCACCCCGAAGCGAGACGAACACCCAATAGCCGTAGACTCCGTAGACGCTGATGTCCTGAAGCCACAAAGCCGGCCTAAAGCTGAAAGAACTACCAACAAAATATCCCAAGACCCTCCTAGAGCCCTGCAGCCCTTGAAGGATTTCAAGACGGGCTACCTGGTGGGAGCCAGTCCCAGGACACTTCTCCATGTTCTACCGGGTCTTAGATGCTCCCAGAGACTCCAATACCCCTTAATTAAGGAATATAACTTAAATCATATTAGGGACCCTACTATAATTTACGGTATATTCCTTAATTTCTTAGATGCTTTGTTTTTTTTTCGCTGCTGACTTGGCAGCGAAGGACCATGGCAGCAGCGCAGCTCATCGGCGCGCTCGCTGGCTGCATCGTCGCTCCATGTACCTTCGACCTCTTCAGCATTTCAATGACTTTTTTGGACTTGTTTCGGGTGTAGGCCTCTTTAATGAGGGGATTCCCTGTTTTGTAAGATGTTAGGTCCTGAGGGGCTCTGTATGGGTGTCGCGGCATGCTCTTCTAGAATCCCGAAAAAGCTAGACATGCGTACTGAACTGAGGTACCTTTCACCTCTTCCGGAGTGCATTTCCGATCCCAAACGATGATCCGCACGCCTTCGTCCACGGTGTGCGGCTGAGATGCCAAACTGTTTATTTCTCGGCCATGGTTTAGGGTTCAGGAAAAAAGGTGAAAAAGGTTTAGGCTTTCGACTCTTGTGGGGAATGGACATGAAACTCCCGAACCAGAATGCCCTAAACCCTGAGCCCTGAACCTCAAGCCCTTGACCTCAGTGCTACGGGAAGCCATAGGTCAGGCTGTCTATGTAGCTTACAAGAAAGGTTTTCCATAGAATGAGACCGAAAAGCGGGCACACATAGCTCCCAAGTGTGACCTGACTGCAAAATTTGCCTCACGCTTACACCCTGAATGTAAACCCTAAGGCCCTGCACCCTAAACCCTATAAGCCCCTATACCCTAAACCCTTAAATCCTAAACCCCTCTACCCTAAACCCTTACCCCTATTCCCTAAGCCCCTACACCCTAAAGGCCCCAAACCTTATAGAGCCCAGGTATGGCCCCATCTATCGGGCGTTGGCTGCGATAACCACCTCCGACGGCTTGGGCGCGCTGCCCAAGAACTGCGTCTCCTTCATGCGCCCGGATCGAAGATTTGAGGGTTTAGGATGTAGGGGTTGCAGGATTTAGGGTTTGGGGGCTTGAGGGCTTCAGGTTGTCGGCATGTTGAAGTTTCAAACTCATGAGGGTTCCACACGGCTTCTTGCATTGCCGTTCAGGCGGGATTCCAGGGCAACGCAGATCGCTGATCAATAAACCTTAGAAGCTGCCCCCACCCTGTAATAGTGGCATAATAGGAATATAATAGGGCCCTAATATAATCATATATAATCCTTATAGTCACCATTACAGGGTTGGGGCAGCTTCTAAAATAAACCCTAAACCCTAAATCCTAAACCCTTTCTTCCTTAACAAAGGGGCGACAATTGGAGATCCCACGGGCCCTTCGAGACAGGGGGGGGATCTTGGAGGTTCATGGGTAGTTATAAGTTAGGGTTATAAGTTGTGGTTATAAGTTAGGGTTATAAGTTAGGGTTATAAGTTAGGGTTATAAGTTAGGGTTGTAAGTTAGGGTTTTAAGTAGGGTAACTAGACTTATAGCCCATGTTAGGGGTCTATCACTCAGGGCTCAACGCCTCCATGCTGGTTGTTGATCACCTCGGCAGCATACTCTTCCTAAATGTTTAGGGTTTAGGGTTTAGGATCTTTCCTTGACCCGACTTTGTCCGCTAGTTTTAGCTTGACTCTGACAATGCAAAACGCAAACCCGGAATGTGAACTCTGAAGCCATAAAGCAATATACAGATCCCGTGACGGCCCGGAAGATGTCATCAACATCCACCAAGAGACCATTCTGAATACGATTCAGTTAAGAAGTTGGGATAGACATAGGGCTGGGTTCTGAGGCCCGAAGTTTACAACACCCGAAGCCCCTGATAAGCCCTAATATCGGGGCCTTGATGATTACCTGCACTATTTATTTTGGGGGTTCCTGAATACATTTATAAGCATATTAGGCCCCAAAGCCCTATTCTAATCATTATTAAGGCCCCTACATTATAGTACCTTTATGGACCCCTTATAGTAATCCTTATAGACCCCTTTAAAGGAACCCTATATCCCTAAGCTGCTAGGCTTGGGGCTGCGCTCTTGGCCCTTGGCCTCAACGGCGGAAGCGACCTCGCCAAAAAGACCTGCTCGGGCTGCCAGCCCTTCGTGCCGAGCACCATGGGGATCAGCTTGGGGGTGCCTCTGGGCATTCTGGAAAGATTATTTTCGGAGATTGTTTCGGGTCTTATAGGTTTTTTTTTGGTATCGTTTTTTGGAGGACATAGGCCTTTTTTGTAACAGGGTTGGACACAAAGTCTTTTGGCGAGACGAGGCTTGCAAGGTAGACAGTGGGTTGTATTGGGTCATCACAAAGGTTTTCAGTTTTTCAGGGATGCGCCAAAGCAATCCTTACAGAAGCCATATAGAACTTTCAAAAAGCACCTGTATCGAATCCTTAGAAATGCTGTGTAGATCTCTGACAAGATCCCTTACACAACTCTGAAAAGGAGCCCTCATGCAGTATTTAGGATCCTTTTCAAAGGACTCTCCGAATAGGGTACTCCCTGATTTTTTCAAGCCGTCAGGTGCTGATTGGCCCCTATATCGGCCTGGACTTTTGCTTGGGCATGCTGCTCCAGCACTTGTGGCGGCTCCTTTCTTCCGCGATTTGTTTTGGGCTTTGCGTGCGAGGTTTTTGTTTGGGCCGGGTATTTGGAAATTGGAGGGGTGCATGTTTGAGTCCAAGAACAGTGATACAGGTTGTTTCTGGAGGGGTTTGATAGGATTTGTGGGAGCTCTCTTACGGCCATCTACAAAGACTCACAAAATCCAATCCGCATTAACTTTCAACTCCTGAATACGAAAAGTTAAAGATCTCACAACTAAGCTACGAACACCGACTTCGTGCGTTTATGTGGTCCAGAAGCGTTTGAACTAAACGCCTCAAAGCCCTTGCGGTTGATCATCTTCAACGACCAAAAGCCGCTAAGTCATGAACTTTTTTTCGCCGCAGCCCCAGAAAGCCATGGCAACCCTTGGAACCTCTTGAAACACCTCCCGCGAAAGTTCTGAAGCCCAAAGAGGGAGCAAAAGTACACCCCTAAACCCTCAGTTATGCTAAACCCTAGATTGCACTAAACCTTAAACTGCACTAAGCACTCAACCTTAAACTACACTAAGCACTGGACCTTAAACTGCACTAAGCCCTAAACCTTAAACTACACTCAGCCCTTAGAAACCCTGAGTCCTGTAACGACGGTTGCGCAACCCTAGACTTCTCGGACTCCTGCGCCCCAAGCGTCAACAGTCTCAGGGGAGCCCTTCACCCCAGAGCCCACAAGGGTTTAGGGTTTAGGGTTACTCAAGCCCCAAGGTGCCATGAACTCCGCTGAGTCCTATAGAATCCCTCAAAGCAGCCTAAAAGCACCGATATCCTAAATCCGAAAAGTCTAGGAAACGCTGAAAGCAAGACCAAGCCCCTGTACCCCTTAACCCTGCACGCTGCCAAACCCGGCAACCTTTCGAAACCTTTACAGAATCCTCAAGCGACAAGGTTCTCAAGCCCCCAAGCACCCTAAACCCTAAACCCTAAACCTTAAACCCTGAACCCTAAGCCCTAAACCCTAAACCCTAAACCCTGAACCTTAAACCCTAAACCCTCGAAGCCTTAGACTTCCAAACGCTCAACCCAAAACCCCTTAAACTCAAACCCTAAGCCTTGAACCCTCAAGGCCTGAGGTTCTCAAGCAAAAAGCACACTTGGTTAAGCCCTAAACCCTAAACCCTAAATCCTAAACCGTAAACCCTAAATCCTAAACCCTAAACCCCTAAATCCTAAACCGTAAACCCTAAATCCTTAACCCTGAACCCTAAACCCTGAACCCCTGAAGCCTAAACCCCTCGACCTCTCACCCTAAGACCTAAACCCCCTTACAGCAAGACCCTAAAGCCCTTGGTTCTCAAGCCCCAAGCCCCCTAAGTTAAGCCCTAAACCCCAAAACCCTCGACCTCTCACCCCAAGACCTAAACCCCCATTACAACAAGACCCTATCCCTAAACCCTAAACCCTAAAGCCCTAAACCCTAAACCCTAAACCCCTAAACCCTAAACCCCCTAAAGCCCTGAGGTTCTCAAGCCCCAAGCGGGAGCAGAAGTACAGCGTCATCGTGGCGAGCGGCTGCCTGGCTGGCGCCGGCATCTCCACTCTCTGCCAGGTGGGGCTAAGGGTTTAGGGTTTAAGGTTTAGGGTTTAGGGTTAAGGGTTTAGGGTTTAGGGTTTAGGGTTAAGGGTTTAGGGTTTAGGGTTTAAGGCTTAGGGTTTAAGGTTGGGGGCCTTGAGGTTTGGGGGCCTTGGGGGTTTAGGGTTCGGGGTTTCAGGCTTAGGGTTTAAGGTTGAGGGCCTTGGGGTCTTAGTAAGGGGTCCGTTATGCGATAATTACAACAAGGAACCCCCCATAATAGTATAGGTATTAGAGTCTTAAGGTCCCTTTGGTACTCTCTAAGACTCTAGTGCTTAGTAAGAGATCCACTCCACAAAAAAAACCCCCAAAATTTCAGACCCGAAACCGTAGCCCTAACCCCTAAGCCCTGACCCCTAAACCCCTCAGACCCTAAACCCCTTATAGATCCCGTTAAAGGATCCCTTATTGTAGCCCCCTTTAAAGGAAACCCTAATCTGTCGTCCCAGTGCCCTGAGGTGTTCCTCAGCCTTGGAAGCGTCTCATCTCCGATCGAAGTGAGCTTCGCCGCCGCCAAGTGAAGGGGTTAGGGTTTAGGGTTCAGGGTTTAGGGAGTTGGCGCTTACACTTATGCGTTTCTTTTGCAACACTCAATGCGCTAGAACTTGGAGCGGCCCCACGTAGCCAATGTTTCCAGCACCTCCAATCGCCCACTTGCATCTAGATCTTGCTGAGGAGGGTTTCAATACTTGGCGCCTAAAGACTTGAATACAGCATCCTGCACCGCAAGCCCATGAACCAGCAATGTGAATCCGGATTGAAAAGCCCTGTTGCGCAGCCCACATGTCTGCACAACCATAGGTCCGAATTCCATAGTGCTGTTCAGGATACCGAAAATCCTACTCTACACCTTTGATTCCAGCCCTTGAGTTGAGCTGACGACATAGACGTATTTTTCGATTGAAGGATCGGAGCCTTTCATGCAAAACATATCGAATCGCTCGGTAGCTTGATGAAGCAGATACTGATCTGAACACTCTGGCGTACTTCGAGGTAGATAATAATATCTTGATCGCCCAAACCTCGACACTCTTTCCTCCCTCCAAAAAACCTATAAATCTTGACACCGTAAATGGTTGACCCCACTCCCGACATCCAGAAGCCATTTACGACCCACTTGGGGGGAGGATTCGGAGCTTAGAGATTTACTGTTCGGCGTTCATGGCATCGTTGTATCAATAGTTCTTACTCTGGTGAATATGATTTTCATTCCCATTAGCATTACCATTGCCATCATGGTGACGGTGTTTTCCGATCATTGTAGCCATATTCTTGACAAGGGCTCTACGAAGGTTTCGATAAGGTTCTACATTTTGTTCTCAAGAGTTCTATGAAGCGTCAGGGCGAGCTAATCTACTTAGGGGTGCTTAGAAATGATTTTTAATCTCTGGTTATTATAATCCCTAAGAAACAGCAAACATTATGTTTTTTTGCTAGGGTTCTAAGTTCAGTATAGTAATCCCCTAAACCCTAAACCCCAAAGCCCTTATAGACCCTTATAACCCTTATAGTCCCCTTTTAAGGAACCCTTTAAAGGAACCAGGAAAGGTTTTGGGGTTTTGGGGTATCGGACCAAGACTCGCCTTTCGCTCGCTTCACTCTGTTGCTCGGGTACTTAGAGGATCTTGGGACTTAGTAAGCAAGGCTCCTTAAAGGGATGTATAGGGTTCTTTAAAGGGGTCTATAGTCTATAGGGTTTAGGGAGTACTTAGAGGATCATGGGACTTAGTAAGTAGGTTATAATTGGGGTTATAAGTCCCCTAAGTGGGGTTATCCTAATTATAATTTTACTTACGAAGTCCCATGAGCCTTTTAGTAGTGAGGTGCGACTCGCTTTTGGATTAGAGGGGCGCTCACGCCAAGCCGACGCTCGCAAAATATCTTCCGGAGCTGTCCAGAAAGCTCAAGACCCATGAAAGCCCAAAAGTCATAACTGGCAGGGTTATGTTTTTGCAGATTGGTATTCTCATCATCTCTGTTTTATCAACTTGTGTGCTGAATTGGTATTGTGACCAGCCTTTTTTTGGCCATGCCGGGACCACCAGATCCTGAGAGCACAAAGACAGGATGAAATGAAGGACGATTGGATCCAACCGAAGTTTGGGCAACCCCTTCTAGCTTTAAACTCTTATAGGCGTAGAGACATCAAGCTCTGAATATCTCTGAATGTCCAAACCGTGAGAAGTATGAGAGAGTTATACCCCTGAGCCTTACTTAGACCCTCAACTTAGGCCCTACACCCTTGTAAAATTCTCATAAACATTTCATTGGAAACGTATGTCACCCTGACTATACGTAACCCAACAGCCGAAAGGGGCATCGGGCTTTCTGGATAAGCTCGTACGCTAATGACGAGTGGAGCACTGGGTTGCTTGGAGGGCCAGCACTCAAGGTTCGACTGAAGGGCGGTTTACTATGCAGGCTAGTGTGAGGGGCCTATCAGAGATTTTAAAGGCCCTAGACCCTAAGCCACAAAAACAGCTAGGTCTTTGGGGTTTATGGTTCGATTCAAGCCCTCGTTGGAGTCCCCCCAATTGAAGTGGAGTATTCCTGAACGTACGAGGGAATGTCTCGTAATTCACGGATATCGGAGTCGATTGGAGGTTTAGACTTTTTGAGTATGGGGAGATAATCCGCTAATACACCACAACGGCACCCGTGCGTTCAAGCTTCAGCTTGTATATGCTATGCATACAAGCACTGTTGTTCTGATGATTATTATTGTTATTATTATCATCATCATCATTATGATTGTTGTTATTAATATTGTTGTTATTCTTGTTATCATGATTGCAATAAAATCACGGTTACTACACCCACGAATATTAGGGTTATCATTGTCATCATTATTCGTGGTCTTCTTTGCGATTTTCTGCCCGGGCTTGGCAACGGTTAAAAAGGTTTGCGTAAGGGCCTCCCCTGGGATTGACAAGGTTTCTATGACGTGTCAACAAGTGGGAGCTCTGGGCAGAAGTTGAAGCAAGCAATCGCCGCATATCCATTGGCCGAGGCGTCAGAGCCTTCAAGCAAGTAGATCGTCCAGTTCTCAAAAGTGCAAACAAGCAATCGACAGAGCCTCCAAGCAAGTGGATCGCCCGAATTGTCTTACATTTGGTTGGTAGGGAATGGAGGAATGGGGTACCATTATAACCACTATTACTAATTACCATTCTTCGATTCCCTACTAACCAAAGATGAGACTACCCCTATAGATCCCATTATAAGGAACCCCTATAGATCCCATTATAAGGAACCATTCCCGTTAGAGCTTTCAATTAAGTGGATCGGCGCATACCAGGATTGGCCGGGCTGCCTGGAGATCTGAGGTTTTTGCACCCGTGGGCTTACATAAGACACCCTAAACCCTAAATCCTAAACCCTAAACCCTAAATCCTAAACCCTAAACCCTAAACTCTAAATCCTAAAACCTAAGCCTTAAACTCCAAACCGTCAAGCAAGCACAAAATGCAGCCTCTGGGATTCGAGCCCGCGGATTATCCGGGACGATTCTGACGGGTTGAGGGCTTGGACAGTCGAGCTACGGAGGAGAAGCACACTTGCATTCGAGACCTCTCAGTAGTGAAATGCAACAAAGGTGCTAGCCACCGCTCGTATTTTGTAGTATAGGCCAAAGTTCAGGGCGCCGAAAACCGAAGAAGAATTGATATGCTGGCACTTTCTGGGCCTGGAGCTGAAAAGCCTTCTACGACTTGGGCCCTTGAACCCGGGCGAGTTCACGATGGAGCTTGATAATCCTAAACCCTAAACCCCTAAACCCTAAACCCTAAACCCTTATGATAAGAGCTCATCGTTGGACCTGTGGTCCGAGACTGGAATGGGGAGGTCGAAGCTGTTATTCAGCACACCTGCGACCAGCAACCAAAGACTTACCTTTGCTTAGTAGGGAATGGAAAAGAAGTAGTAGTAGTAGCAGTAGTAGCAGTAGTAGTAGCAGCAGTAGTAGTAGTAGTAGTAGTAGTAGGAGTAGTAGTAGGAGTAGGAGTAGGAGTAGGAGTAGGAGTAGCAGTAGGAGGAGGAGGAGTAGCAGTAGCAGTAGCAGTAGCAGTAGCAGTAGCAGTAGCAGTAGCAGTAGCAGTAGTAGTAGTAGTAGTAGTAGTAGTAGTAGTAGTAGTAGTAGTAGTAGTAGTAGTAGTAGTAGTAGTAGTAGTAGTAGTAGTAGTAGTAGTTCTAATTGTACCCCATTCCTCCATTCGCTACTACCCAAAGGTAAGAAGAAGGGGATTGGTGACCAGATCCACTCGCCCGGTTTTCGGAGTTTAGAGCTCGGGTTGCAGGGTCTACAGGTCGCGGCCTTGCCAAAGGATGCAGGCCGGTCGCTTCGTTTGTCTGAGAGCGTGCGTGAAGCCTGGAGCACGACAGAAAAGATGCGTTGCAAATCGTTCTGATCCTTTTTCTGAGCGCCCATTCGGCGCGTAAACCCAACACCGCACATCCTAACACCTTAAACCCCAAAACAGGTCCCAAAACTGTACAGGGATATAGGGTTTCACTCCCCAACTAAACCTTGAGCCCTAAACCCCAAACCCTTAAACCCTGAACTGCCGAGAGCACCTCTCGTCAGAACGGTGAGGGGGGGGTAAAGCCTGCCGCCGGCGTACGAGGACTGTAGCGACGCCGCCCCGCTCACGACTTCGCTGCCGTTAGGCAGTAGGGCTCGCTTCGAGCGGGTCGTCTGACGGAAACCCACGCTTTTCGTCGAGCGGCCAGCACAGGCACACAATCTATCTCAGCTGTGCTTTGTGGTGGAGTGTGGTTGTTTATGTGTCGAACAGCGAAAGGAAGCAGATGGGGTGTGAACCCTAAACCCTAGTTGAGAACAGTTGGGGTGCTTGGGTCGGGACTCTGGGTGCGCCCTCATTCCTAAAGTCGAAGGCGCACATAGGCGCACCCACCGCGCGCACACGGGTTACACACCCTAAAGCCTATACCCAAAACCCAAAACCCCTAACCCCTAGAACCCGATAAACCCTTGAACCCTTAAGCCCTAAACTCCTAAAGCCCTAAACCCCTAAACCCTTACCCCCTAAACCGTAAGACCCTAAAGCGCTGAGGCCATGTCACCCGGGGCATCGAAGCACAGCTAAGCAGGATGTTTAGTACAGGGGCCCTTAAATAATTTCCTAAATTCGTACTATTTTGGGGGTTCCTTATTATAGTTATATTATAATGGGCCTCAAAATCCTATTCTAATTTCTAAGGCCCCCATATTGGGGTTTTTCTTACTCCCGAGCCGTACAGTAGCATGCTGGACGGCTTCAGCCGTTAAGGCCCAAAGCCGAGTGCCACAGTGCACATGATGGCTTCCTGTTTTCCACATGGGGGCACAGGCCCTCGTAATAGGAACCCATGCCCCTCAGAAGGCAGACAGAGTCTTCATAGTATAGGAACTCAATCTAGATACCTCTCCAAAACGATAGGATCCACAACATTGAGTCCGAACGTGAAACAGCTTGTGTTGATCCGTAGTGTTACCTCCTAATTTGCCAAGCCTGCACCATCCCAACGCCTAAAACCCCAAATCCTATAGCCTGCAACCCTAAATGCTGACATTGCAGGGATTCCAGGGGTTCCTGGGTAGTTAGTCCAGTATATACTGGCACCAGTACCTCAATCGGGGCCAACGTGTCACCACGCTCATAAGGCTGCCTACTAATTTCCCTGATCCTTTAAGTATCCTCTCTAAAATCCAACGCCAAGCCTGGCGAAGTAGAGAGAACAACAAGAGCACAGGCAATTACAGAAAAGCAATACCATGAAGGAGCCGCGCTACTGGAATCCAGTAGCAACAACAATAGGAATTGCGAAAGTCAGTGTGAAGCATTATCAATCGCTACAAAACCCCTCAAGCGAAGGTTGATAAGACCCTGCACATTGAAGCCATGCTCCTCGCCGTGGTCTGCGTGTCCGCCTCGTTGCCGGGAGCGGCGGCGACCTCCCAACTTCTCCACGCGGCGTACTGGGGCTGGCTGGAGGCTTCGGGGCCTATGAGGGTTTCAGAAGGGTTTGAGAATAACTTTAGGGCTTAGGGTTTAGGTTGGTTCATGAGGAATTCATAACGGTCCAGGGTTGAGGGTTTTGCTGTTCCTGCAACTTGCAACATTTGTAGATAGCCAGGTCCAGAGCCTAAACTCCAAGTTCAAGTGCGCGCTGAAACCCTCAAGACGCAACCCCGAAACACTAAACCCTAAATCCAAGAATCGCAAGCTCCGAACCCGACATAGGGGTTGTTGTACGGGGTCCTTTTCGGAGAGTTGCCGTGAGATGAAAACCCAAATAGGAGGTACGGTATGTCTGTTTGGGTGCGAGCATATTATCCAACCCTCCACACATAATATAGTCTTGTTGCAAATTTGAGCCAATGTGCCGAACCACAGCCACCTTATCAATCATTGATAAGAAGGAGTCTTTCAAACCGCATCGAAGCCCAGAAGAAGTTGCAAGCCTTTCGTATCCCTCATAGCTCCCCAAGAAATGCAGCATAAACCCTGTTTGAACCTTAAATCCGAAAGAAAGCAGCTAGCAAGCAGCTTGCAACTGAAGGAGGTAGAGCGCCTCGTCAATCAACGCGCGGCGCTGGAGGAGTGCCGGGTGTCACACGCCATTGCTAGAGCTTCATAGGCTTCATAGAAGAGCCTTAATAATTCGAGCACGTATTTGGGGTATATTATCGTCTACGCAGGCTAAGGAATATTCAGGCTTCTCGTAAGTCTTTTCTTGACGGAAAGCGCCTTGCGCGCTTGGGAGTTGCTGGGGCGTTAGCCTGAATATAAAGGGGGGGGTGTGGGGGGGGGGGTGCTGGGGCAGCCACCCGGATTTGCAGTATTTCGGGGCCCCCGTGGGCATCATTGGGGTTGTGCGTGCTTCTTGGGCCCCTGTAAAGGTCCCTGGCGGTAAGTTGCGTGCAACATTGGGAGCATAGACGGTTTTTATCGCTATTTACAGTGTTTTTGGCTAATGTTGGACACCTCGCGGGGCGGCCCCCAGCCCCCGCAAGGCGAGCATCATCAGCATCAGCTGGGCAGTGTCGTCCACGTTCGTGCGCACGTCATGAACTTCAGCTGGCGCGCTTGGCGCATGTCGCGGGGAGTCCCGGGGCCCAAAGCATCCTGAGCATCATTGGCGCTTCGTTTCTGCTGTGCTGGGGCGTTAGGCTTCGGGTGGGGGGGGGGGCTCTCAGGAATGAGGACTGGACAAGGGTACTGCGCATGGTTTCCCTATCGTGCCAGTGCTGGGGCCTTGGTCAAAATTCTGCGTAGCTTTCTCCCGAGAGAAACATGATGGCTGCGAAAGCATTGCTATACTTTTTAAGACGTCAGGAGAGGCTTGTGACAACCGATAGGGGCGCTGGACTAGCGGACAGAAGGCAAAAGAATGGCTTTAACCTTTATGTGGGCTTTTTGCTCTTACGTTTATTCAGTTGAGAATCCTGGGCATCATTGGGGTTGTGCGTGCTTCTTGGGCCCCTGTAAAGGTCCCTGGCGGTAAGTTGCGTGCAACATTGGGAGCATAGACGGTTTTTATCGCTATTTACAGTGTTTTTGGCTAATGTTGGACACCTCGCGGGGCGGCCCCCAGCCCCCGCAAGGCGAGCATCATCAGCATCAGCTGGGCAGTGTCGTCCACGTTCGTGCGCACGTCATGAACTTCAGCTGGCGCGCTTGGCGCATGTCGCGGGGAGTCCCGGGGCCCAAAGCATCCTGAGCATCATTGGCGCTTCGTTTCTGCTGTGCTGGGGCGTTAGGCTTCGGGTGGGGGGGGGGGGCTCTCAGGAATGAGGACTGGACAAGGGTACTGCGCATGGTTTCCCTATCGTAGTTCTGCAGACTGAGCACGCGACCGGCCCGGCAGAAACCGGCTGCCACGGTTGGGGGGCAAGTTCGGAACTGTGGACTCAGGATTAGGCCGGACTGTAAGGTGGAGGGACAGGTTCGGGATGTCTGCTCGCGGGCTGGGACTTCAACGGCTCCTCGACAGACGAGAGCGCGCTTTCCGTTGTTTGCCAAGCTGGTTCGCACTTGGCTTATGCCGGGGTTTACATGGGATTTGCAATGCTTCTCTCGGGGAGGAAACACGTATATGGCTTCGGAAAGGTCCTTGCCAGGGTTCTATTTGTTTGGTCCGGGTGTCGGAAAGGTTCCACTGTATGGGGGTTGATTAGTAGGCTCTAAGGTGTATAAAGCCTACAGAAAGCATGAGCAGACCTCTGGCAGCTTTTGTTTATATGCTTACCACTTACATTCCTAGTTATCACTACCAGGAACGACGAACGACATACATAATGCGGTGGGGTTTGAGGGGACCCAGACCTTCCAAAATCCCTTAATTAAGGAATGTATCTTAAATTTTATTAAGGATCCTACTATAGTTTAAGGGATATACTCCTTAATTAAGGGATTTTGGAAGGTCTGGGGATGCTGAGAAGCAGGACCGACAGGGCTTTCCCTTGTGGGCCTGAAAAACTTGTCGTGGGATTCAAGGCCCAAGGGAGTCTCGCAAACACCCGCGCATTGACACCTTAGGGTTGAGGGTTCAGGGTTTAGGGTTTAGGGTTTAGGGTTTAGGGTTCAGGGTTTAGGGTTTAGGGTTCAGGGTTTAGGGTTTAGGGTTTAGGGTTTAGGGTTCAGGGTTTAGGGTTTAGGGTTCAGGGTTTAGGGTTTAGGGTTTAGGGTACGCAAACTCTACCCTAAAGCCTGAACCTTGAACCTTTAGACACAAAGTAGAAGCCTCAAACCATAAGAGCCCTTATGGAGCGAAGTTAGGTTCCTTAAAGGATCCTCATACCCTAAACCCTAAACCCTAAACCCTCGAGCCCGAAAGGAGCGCGACTGGCTCGGGAAGACTCCCCTGGCGTATGCGGCCTGGCAGGGCCGTGTGGAGGCGCGGGATTTGATTTTAAAAGGGCTTAGGGTTGAGGGTTGAGGGGTTTAGGTTGTAGGGTTTAGGGTGTAGGGTTTAGGGTTGAGGGTTTAGGATTTCTGGTACAAGGGTTCTACTTGATTCGGCTTTTGGCGGGGCATTAAACAGGTTCGTAAGGATTAGGTTACGCTTTTTGTTGAATGGGGTTCAAGGGGTAGTCACGTTGTTTATCAGAGGGCGTAGAACTTAGTCGGCCTTATATAATCCAAAGTGTTAGCCTTTATCTCCCTTAGGAAACTGGACTTGCAGGGTACTCCAAGGGGAAAAGGAGGGACCCTTAATAAGGACCCCTAGGTATATACCCTTAATACAGCTACTATATACCCAGTATATAGCCCCATTACAGGGTAGGGGTCCCCATTAAGGGTCCCTCCTTTTCCCCTTTGATATGATGAACCCTAAACCCTAAACCCCTAAGGACCCCTTAAAGGAACCCTAAAGATCCCTTTAAAGGAACCCTAAGAGCCCTAAATTAAGGGTCCCTCCTTTTCCCCTTTGAGATACAGAGCTTCCACGGCGAAGCCTCAAACCTCCCCGGTCCCGCGCCTTGAATCCCATGCCCTGCACCCCAACCTCAGCTCCTACGGTAGACCCTAAACATCCCTGGACCCTGAACCTCCCTGAGATGTACCTCTTAACCCTGAAGAACCTACCTTTTTAGGGTTCCTTATTATGAATTCATTATAGAAGTCCTTAAAATGGTAGGTTATTTGGGGTGAAGGCAGGGCCTAGAGATTGAATCCCAAACTCTAAACCTTTGCCGCAGCTTGGGTCAGGTGGCACAGTACCTGCTGCAGCAGGGTGCTGCCGTTGATGCGAAGGACAAGGATGGCGAGACGCCGTTGGCCCTGGCTGCCAGGCTGGGGGAATCCAGACGCTCCAATGATGACAGGGTTTGGGATTTAGATGGGTTTCAGGTTGAGGGTTTAAGATTCAGGGTTCAAGGCGTAGTGTTCAGGGTTCAGAATGTTAAGGTGCCTCTGGAAAATTGTGTTTTTCTCCTGGCTGTGAGGTCTGGGGTGTGTGGGGCGTGGCTATTGGATTTAGGGTCTGGGGTTTCGGCTTACTATCACCTCCCTCAGAGTGCCGCACGATGGTTCCCTCTCTATCTGTAATTTTAGGAGTACTAGGCAGTTCAGTGTTCCTTTGTCACAGTTGGGTAACATTTTAAATTTTTATGGGTACTTAAAAACCCAATAAGGAATAAACATTGTAAATCCTAATCCTATCCCAACCATGTTCGCCCGATTTTGTGTTTCCGGGACTTGCAGGGTGGTGCTTGAAGTTGGGAGAGGTCTGGGGTTTAGGGTTTAGGGTTTAGGGGGAAGAACCTTGGACCGGCCCGAAACCCTAAGCACCTCCAAGCCCTAAGCCTGAGACACTCTACCCTAGACCCTAAACACCCTGCAGAGCCCTAAACCCGAAGTGATTGCACAACTTGTGTCTAGGGATCAAAATCGTGACACGAGTTACAGGCCTTTTTCTGGAGTTCCGTTTAGGGCTCCTTTATGGGATCTCTTCGAGGGTTCCTTAAGGAGATCTATAAGTTGGGTTCTTTGACTATACATGTGCAGATCGCACGGGGGAGCCCTTCAGCAATGCTCATGAGATTCCTGAAGTCGAAACAAGTCATGCCAACGTCCAAGACCCGAAACCCTAAACCAAAACCCTTATAAGTATATAGAGGAATCCGAAAAGTGGAAACCTCAAAAGAACCCTTCGACGAACCCAGAGAGGTATGGGCAGTCGAGATTGGTCGACCTCCTGGTGGCCCATGGCGCGGATGTGCGGGCCAAGACCGAGGCGCGGCTTCTTTGGGGCTTTTGGGGGGGGTTCCTTCGAAGGGTTCCTTTCAGGACTCTGCTGGATGTTAGGATCCTATTTGCGTCGCCTGTACAGTAAAAATCCTCGTACTAGGGGTGTGCATGGTCCATGATTCTGAAACTCCTGTGGTATGCCCTTGAGTTCAGGGTTTACCCGAAGACATAAACCCCAAACCCTGCACCCCACGCCCAAACCCCAACCCTACACCCTAAGCCCCACATGGGAGTTTCCGAAAACTAGGGGTACCTCATTTGCGGGTCCTTATAATAAGGATCCTACTATTTACATAGGGTACTATATTAGGGTCCCCTATTTTCGGAAACTCCCACATCCAAAACCCTGGTTGGTGCTGGAGGTTCTCGTTTGTCAAGGTCTCGAGTCCGGAGCCCTTGCTCGGAGGGAACGTTTCAGGCACGAAGAAGGTGTAAGCCCTGATGTATGCGGCTTAGCGGATTCACGCTTAGTTAGTTCGTGCAGTGGCCCATAGAACCCTTACGCCAACAAAAACCTCTAGAACCCCAAACCCTGAACCGTTCATACTACCCTGAGCCCTACTATTGATGATTAAAAACCCTGCATTACCCATAATAAGGAACATACCATAATTCCCATAGTTTAGGGTCCTTAAGGTAATGCAGGATTTATATCATCACCCTAAACCCTAAAACCCTATAAATCCCTTAAAAGGACCCCCTTAAAGGTACCCTTATAGATCCCTTTAAAGGAACCCCAGGATTTCTATCATCAACCGTAACCCGAGCTTTTTTGTATGAAGGATGGCCAGAGTGTCCTGGCTCTCGCGGCCTTGCAGGGCCTCGGACTTGGCTTTTTTCCTTCATGTGGGTAGTTGTCAAAGTTAGGGTCCCTTTTTGGGTACCCTAAATATTAGGTGCCGTATTCTATTAGGGACCCAAATAGGGACCATAATTTTGACAACCACCTATATGTACCATATGAGGAGCTGCAAGCTTGGAGGTTCTGTAGGTTTTCATCAGGTCTAGAAGCGTTAAGGGGCTCTGCTCTGAAGGTCTCATACAAACGAGATACACAGGCAACCCTAAGATCTTGGGGATTTAGGAATTGAGGGCACTGTACAGGTCGGAAGGGTTGATGACAAACATACCACCCATAGAATACAGAATCCTAATACACCAGAACCCTGGTCTACAACTATCCGTTTCCTACGTCCCAAACCCTAAACCCGTAATCCCTTAAACGAGCACCAAGGCCACGGGGAGGTGGTCGAAGACCTGCTGCAGAGACGTGCGCAGGCCTGCTTCGGGGCTTTCGTGGTCAGTATGCGGTTTGGGATAGTTAGACTTGCGGGTTCGGGCGAACCGTTCATGAGAGAAGTCTTCGGGTCAAAATCTTTCGTTGGACCGATAGAGCACTTGTAAGTCCAATAAACGCTCTGTTGCCATGGCAGCTTGAATAAGCACGAAAAGCCCTAAACTCCCAATCTCTTAACCAAGGCTTTCTAAATTGCACAGCAGCAGGGTTAAGAGGCCGACCTCCTTGTACACATACAAGGGTATCTGCTGAACTTTCGGGGGGTGTCCTTGTAATCAGGATCTTGTTAATTTGGGTCAGTATCCCCTGAGCCCTAAACCCTAAATCCCAACCCCTAACCCCCTACACTCTAGACCCCTTTTGGGCTAGGCCAGAAGCTCCTAAACCCACGAAGGATCAAGTTTCAACGCTGAAGCAATGCACTCTACACCCGAGCAGCTACACCCTACTGCACGGTAAACCGGAAGCGGTAAGGCACCGTAAGACCAAGACCCTGCACCACAAACTCTGAAGTCCCGAACCTCGAAACCTAAGCCCAAAACTAATTAAATGTCAAAATCCCCAAGCCTTCACAACCATCTATGCAACCCTCGATATGAAGCCTACAAAATCCTCAGTAAGAGTTCGAAGCACGTCCCGTGAAGCCCTAAACCCATCCTTGAAAGAGGCGGAGACCCGTGACCGCAACGGCCGCACCCCTTTGGCCCTGGCGGCCACTTGACCGTTCTTGAACACATTTTTCCATTCCTCCTATAGGAGGAATAAATGTAAGTTTTTGCTGCTAGTAACAGTTTATCGTCTCTTCCTAAGAGGAACAAAAAGCCCACAATTCTTAACCGTGCCTGCAAGCACCGCCCAGGCCACTTTCGGCCACCTCTCCGTGGTCCGGCAGCTTCTAACCACGGCTCCCAGGCCACACATGCGCTCTGATTAAAGGCTCATGGGACTTAGTAAGTAAGGTTATAAGTGGGTTATAATCAGGATAACCCCACTTAGGGGACTTATAACCCCAATTATAACCTACTTACTAAGTCCCATGATCCTCCAAGTAGTTGGGGTTCCCTTTCAGCGTGCCTTTGGTTAGTAGGGAATGGAGGAATGGCGTACCATTACTACCATTCTTCCATTCCCTAGTAACCAAAGGTAAGTCAGGGTCACGAACGCGGTCGCTAAGCTCTCTGGACGGCGCGGCGCTCCGCTCTGCAGCTATGCGAAACGTTCGTTATGCGGGCCGTTTGCAAGGAATCTGGATCAACTGTGACGCTCGTGTGCAAAACCTCTGCAGTAATGTGATGGAAGCCAAAGGCCAGAGGTGTAGAGCCGATAATTCCGGTAAACGAACAAAGCAAGGACGTCCAAGTCAACGTCCTCTTATCAAGCCTAGCCAGCCTTGCCAGGTGTTGACTGAGCCCCTTAGCTCTCAACCAGGAACCTGAAGCTCAGAGACCCAAAGCCTAAACCCTATACGCTCCGATCCTGCATTCTCAATCCCAAGCCCAAAACCCCAAACCAAAAACCGAACGCTTTGTAAAAGAAGCAGCTTCAAGGCATCAGGCCGCCATGCAATCCTTACGGTGTGTGAGCTGCCTTAGGATTCCAACATCGCTCACTGACCACCACGTACAGGATGACAAGAAGCCTCACATAATTTGTAACATACTCCTGACTTAAGGGGCATTGCAGAACCCTCGACCATATCCCGAGACCTTGAATTTCCTGAGTAGTACTTCACGGATCAGGGGGCCGAGCAAGTAGGCTTAAGTAGAGAGCTGACTACGCTGACTGCGGTTACAGCTTATTGCATGCCTACCACGTACCCTGAGGCTTTGAGGATTTCAACCGGTCTTCAATCTATAGGCTTGAATCATTATCGATTTTGTTCCTCGGGTTTCCTTGGCTCAAATGTAACCTTAACTCCATCCCCGTGTTTAAGGCCTCTTTGCCACCGTAAAATTTGGGCCCGTATGCTCCTTTGTTCGAAGGGGCGGCGGCGAGCCGCCGTCGGAGGTGGGGTGGGCGTAGTTGGGGGCTGGGGGAGGCGGGTTCAGGTTTTATGAGGTTTTATAGTGGGGTTCTAGAATCAACCCTAAACCCTAAACCCTAAGTTATGGTTTCTGTGACTATGTCGACAATGGTTCCATGGCTTTCTATGAGGCTGCAAAGGAATAGAAAGCACTCCTATAAGGGATGAAGGGTGTTCTGGGGCTTACAGTGCATGTAAGGACTGTACGGTTGTATGTATTTACGAAGCCGAAACCCCGCAAATCCTAAAGCTTTGGATCCAAAAGAAACATAGCCCCAAATCCAAAGCAAAACGCATCCCGAAACCTGAAGTCCGAACAGCCCCAAATCAGAAACACCCACACCAACTGCCCAGACCTTCCAAAACCCCTTAATTAAGGAATATCCTTTAAATTATAGTAGGATCCTTAATATAATTTAAGGTATATTCCTTAATTAAGGGATTTTGGAAGGTCTGGGTGCCTAACAGCGCATAGCCCAAGAACGCTTGAGCAACGTTTTAGCAAGTTGCTTACTCGCCTGAAGCCGGCGCCCGACTTTGTCAGGAGTACTTTGCTTGGAGGATCATGGGACTTAGTAGGTAAGGTTATAAGTACTCCTAAGTGGGGATATAAGTAGTTCTATTATGTTACAAGTACAGTTGCTTTGATTATAACCCTAGTTACTAGGTCCCATGATTGTTCAAGTGGACCTAGGGCCAGAGTTTTACGGTTTTAGGTTCACGGTTGAGGGTTTGCAGAGCTGAAGCAAATCAGAGTTATACCATGAACCCGAAACCGCAGCTTTGAGCGCCTTGAGGCGTATTCGATTTCCGTGGTGCTTTGTGCGTTTTCGGCTTATATACTTGAAGGCTCTTACTTGGTAACCGGCACGAATGATCACTAATGTCACTGGTTAGAGGTACTTCTAGCTACACTTTGCTCAAGCTCTGCTTAGGATCCAGGATCCGACTTTTTATTTGTCCTCTTGCAGGGTCCTTGCTTAAGGATCTTGCGTTACAGGCTATCCTACACCTGAAACCCCCCAAACCTCAAACCTCGAACCCCAACCCAGAACCTCACACCCCTAGAGCTTCAACCTTGAACCCCAAACCCTAAGCCGAAGACAATTGGAACTGGGACTTAAACCCAACAAACTCAGAAGGCTGAAGGGTTTAGGGTTTAGGGTTTAGGGTTTAGGGTTTAGGGTTTAGGGTTTAGGGTTTAGGGTTTAGGGTTTAGGGTTTAGGGTTTAGGGTTTAGGGTTTAGGCGCCCGACTTTGTCAGGAGTACTTTGCTTGGAGAATCATGGGACTTAGTAGGTAAGGTTATAAGTACCCTAAGTGGGGATATAAGTAGTTCTATTATGTTACAAGTACAGTTGCTTTGATTATAACCCTAGTTACTAGGTCCCATGATTGTTCAAGTGGACCTAGGGCCAGAGTTTTACGGTTTTAGGTTCACGGTTGAGGGTTTGCAGAGCTGAAGCAAATCAGAGTTATACCATGAACCCGAAACCGCAGCTTTGAGCGCCTTGAGGCGTATTCGATTTCCGTGGTGCTTTGTGCGTTTTCGGCTTATATACTTGAAGGCTCTTACTTGGTAACCGGCACGAATGATCACTAATGTCACTGGTTAGAGGTACTTCTAGCTACACTTTGCTCAAGCTCTGCTTAGGATCCAGGATCCGACTTTTTATTTGTCCTCTTGCAGGGTCCTTGCTTAAGGATCTTGCGTTACAGGCTATCCTACACCTGAAACCCCCCAAACCTCAAACCTCGAACCCCAACCCAGAACCTCACACCCCTAGAGCTTCAACCTTGAACCCCAAACCCTAAGCCGAAGACACATTTGGAACTGGGACTTAAACCCAACAAACTCAGAAGGCTGAAGGGTTTAGGGTTTAGGGTTTAGGGTTTAGGGTTTAGGGTTTAGGGTTTAGGGTTTAGGGTTTAGGGTTTAGGGTTTAGGGTTTAGGGTTTAGGGTTTCAGGGTTTAGGGTTTAGGGTTTAGGGTTTAGGGTTTAGGGTTTAGGGTTTAGGGTTTAGGGTTTAGGGTTTAGGGTTTAGGGTTTAGGGTTTAGGGTTTAGGGTTTAGGGTTTAGGGTTGTGCACAGGCCCCAAGGTCGTTGGTGCAGCGGCAGATCTCGGTGGACTCGCAGGACTTGTTTGGAGTTAGACAGGTTTTCAATTCTCAGCGATTGAGGCTTAGGGCTTGCCTGTCGCCCAAAAGACCTACCTTTTCAGGGTTCCTTATTATGGTTTCTTTGTTACAACTCCTTAAAGAGGTAGGTTTTTGAGCTACAGGTAAGGGTGCAGCGTCTGGGGCTGAGAACTAGGCTTAGAAGTATATAGATGAAGTTTGTGGGTTTACAGGTTTGGACAGGGACTCTTGTCAAGAACTAAGCACGGCTGAGTGTTGTGAGACGTAGAGCTGTCTGTCCACTCATACCTGACATGCTTCAAACTCAGTTCTAAGTACCCAGGCCCCTGGATAGTCAGGACAATTTGCATAGACACAGGAATACATACTTCGGGTGTCTGTATAAGCCCTGTCAGGCTACTTGGGCCAGAAGTATGTCATCATCACATCAGATGAATAAGCATTGTGGAAAGAGATCACGACGAGGCCATAAAGATCAGAAGTATGTCATCAGACGCCACCTGAAACGCGAATGACATCCTGATTAGATCAGAAGGATCAGAGGTATGTCGTCATCACGCCACATGAGTCTGCTTTGTGAAAAGTCACTATAGTGTGCATGACATCATGACCGGGTCAGAAGGGTCGGAAATATGTCATCATCACACCACGTAAGTCTGTAAGATGTAAATCAAGGGCCAAAAAGTGAAATGAGCATGGTGCCATGATTTTTTCAACTTGGTGTTCATGAATACTCATATAGAAGATCAGTTGAAAGAAGCCTACAAGGATCAGCCACACACGGGTAGTTGTCAAAGTTATGGTCCCGTTTTGGGTACCCTAAATATTCGGTGCCGTATGATAATAAGGACCCAAAAAGGTATCCCAATTTTGACAACCACCCATATATACAACATTTCCATATAATAGTTGTTGCTCTTAAGGCTTTGTCAGGGATGGCGATCTGGTGTTTGATGGGTTTGGGGCATAGTGATCCTGCGAAGGACCAGAGTGGAAGGTATGCTCTAGAGTACAGGCTCCCAGACTGAGAGGGTGCCCGATGCTTGACAAACACTAGTATGCACAACAAGTCACTGCAGGCACCACAAACCTCACACGATAGTGCCAAGGTAGTGGAGGGTTGCCTGTGTGAGCACGATGGCCTTCGTGGTTCAGGTGAGCCTGCTAAGTGGCAGAACAGTTTCACTGGAAGCAGAACCGGACCAGTCTGTAAAAGCACTGCGTGGCAGTGCACAGAAGGCGCTGGCAGTCGGCGCAGGCAAACTCTTGGACTCCTCCGGAGGCGTTCTGCACGGAGCAGCCACGCTTGAGGAATCTGGCTTGCAGAGCGGTGATACGCTGACCTTGAAGATCGGCAGCTTTCAGGTTCGCGGCCACGATTCTGCTTTTGCTGCACTTCTTGGCGATGGTTCTGTTGTGACCTGGGGCAGATCTGCAGCTGGTGGCGACAGTGGTGCTGTGCAAGCTCAGCTGAAGGATGTGCAGCAGATCCAAGCTACCGCCATGGCTTTTGCCGCCGTTCTGGGCGATGGGTCTGTTGTGACCTGGGGCAGTGCTGACTTTGGTCGCGACAGCAGTGCTGTGCAGGATCAGCTAAAGGACGTGCAGCAGATCCAAGGTACCAACACGGCTTTTGCTGCCATTCTGAGCGATGGGTCTGTGGTGACCTGGGGCAATTCTGCCGCTGGTGGCGACAGCAGAGCTGTGCAGGATCGGCTGAAGGACGTCCAACAGATTCAAGCTACTGGCTTTGCTTTTGCTGCCATTCTGGGCGATGGGTCTGTTGTAACCTGGGGCGATGATTGTGGCGACAGCTGTGATGTGCAACATCAGCTGAAGGGCGTTCAGCAAATTCAAGCATCTCAGCATGCATTTGCCGCCATTCTGAGAGATGGGTCTGTTGTGACCTGGGGCGATGCTCGCGCTGGTGGCGACAGCAGTGCCGTGCAAGGTCGGCTACAGGACGTGCAGCAGATCCAGGCTTCTGAAATAGCTTTTGCTGCCGTTCTGGGCGATGGGTCTGTCGTGACTTGGGGCGATGATGACGGTGGTGGCAACAGCCGTCATGTGCAAGATCAGCTGAAGGACGTGCAACACATTCATGCTACTGTTGATGCTTTTGCTGCACTTCTTGGCGATGGTTCTGTTGTGACCTGGGGCAGATCTGCAGCTGGTGGCGACAGTAGTGCTGTGCAAGCTCAGCTGAAGGATGTGCAGCAGATCCAAGCTACCGCCATGGCTTTTGCTGCCATTCTGGGCGATGGGTCTGTTGTGACCTGGGGCAGTGCTGACAGTGGTGGCGACTGCACTGCCGTGCAGGATCAGCTGAAGGACGTGCAGCAGATCCAAGCTACCAGGAGTGCTTTTGCTGCCATTCTGGGCGATAGGTCTGTTGTGACCTGGGGCAGTGCTGATAGTGGTGGTGACAGCAGTGCGGTGCAAGCTCAGCTGTCAAACCAGTAGAGCTGTGCAACACGCGGCAGAAGCTGCGCATGTTATGTTTATCGACGTTGCTAGGGCAGTGTCTTTGTATCTCACTGATCACCACTCCCTTGTGCAACCTGTCCCCACTTCAAGCTTTTTCATGGAAAGGCACCCAGAGGCAAGCTATCCATTTCATAAAGCACGCTGGCGAAGCCGAGAAGTATTTGGGCATATTCACTGCAGTTTAGGATTCAGGGCGGAGGGCATTTAGACGTGTTGGGCGCTTTGGGGAGTTTGGAGGCCTCTGCCTTTCCTTTTCATCTTGCCAGCATTTAAGACGACAATCCATCCGTCTTATCCCAGTCTTCTAGAGTATCCGACATCAGCAATCGGTTGCAACAGCAGCCAGTCAATATTCCATACGATGAACAAGAGCGAGAAGTTGTTTGCCTAGGAATGGCCAGGATACACCTGTTCCATACGTTTTTCGCAGCACTGCAGTGCATCTTTCGGGCGCTTAGTGGCCTCTCGGGTGATTTATGAGTTGCTTGCAGAAGCCAGCTACGAGAGCTGCGCAACATCGAATCCAACCGGTGCTTCTTTCACCGAAGCGAATGCTGCGGCAATGTGGCACAAAACGTCAACAGTCAAGAGGGTTTCGAGATGGTTTTGGCCATTGGCTGCTTAAAAAAGTCCTCAAGCCTCGTCGGAAGCATAATATGGGAGTTTCCGAAATTTAGGGGACCCTGATGTAGTACCCTAAATAGTAGGATCCTTATCATAAGGACCCTAAAATAAGGTACCCCTATTTTTCGGAAACTCTAAACCCTGATAGAGCCCTTTAAAGGGACCCTTATAGTAACCCTTCAAAGGAACCCCAAAATAAGGTAATTACCCCTAATTTTGGGAAACTCTAAACCCATATAGAGCCCTTTCTCTTATAGTAACCCTTTACAGGAACCCTAAGGTACCCCTTAATTTTCGGAAACTCCCACATACCCAAAGGGTCCAAGTATCATTATGGTATATACTTATAGGGTATTTTGGGGGTCTAAGTATATACCACAATGATACTTGGGTGGTTGTCAAAATTATGGTCCTTTTTTGGGTCCTTATCATAATGAAGCACCTAATACTTCGGGTACCCAATTACGGACCCTAATTTGGACAACCACCCACTTGGACCCTTTGGGATAGCTTTTTTGTTGCGGCCGAATCATAGGATTCTTGCGAGGACGGCAGCTCGGATGCTCCAGATTTCGGTATGGATCCTTGGACGGTTTTTTCAGAGATTGAACATTTCTATAAGACCCTGGTGGAGCCCTGAAAGAAGTTGAAACACTCTGTACACCCGCCTATACGTACCCAGAGGGCGAGAGTTTTGCACTTCGAAACTTCATCTTCGCAAGAAGCCGTCTGAAGCCCGCCTTCTCAATCTCTAACGGACAAGAGGGTGTAAAGATGAAACCCCCTTTTTCCAAGAACCCCAAACCCTGAACCCCAAGTCCTAAGCTATCTTAGCCTACCAAACCCTACTTTTTTTGTAGGTTCTTATTATACACCCCAATATGGAATTTATAAGGACCCTACTTTTTTGTAGGTTTTGGGAGGTTAAGCTATCTGCAAAAGGACAACCTGGGCTTCACTCCCTTGGCTTCTGCCTCCTGGGCCGGGCACGCAGACGTGGCCTCGTTTCTGCTGCGGAAGGGTGCCGACCCGAAGGGGCGCACCGATGCGCAGGAGCCCCCATTTTATGGATTAGGGCTTAGGGTTTAGGGTCTAGGGTTTGGGGTTTAGGGTTTGGGGTTTAGGGTGCAGGGTTTGGGGGTTGTGCCTTGTCTTGTTGTTGTGCTTTCGGTGCACGGAGTGGGGTTGTACTGCGGGAAGGGGGAGGAGGTTTGGCAATGCTGACACATATAAAGAGATTTGCAGGTTTCTGTGTGGTTTTATGAGGGTCTTATCAGTGCAGGGCTTGAGAAGGGGTTTGGGGCGCTTGGCCATTTGGTGATCTATCTTGTCTAGGGTTTCGGGTGTCGGCTTCAGGATGTAAGACCTGTATAGCCATGGGACGGATGAATGGCTCAACGAAACTTTACTATGTGTCATGGCCTGAGGTTGGGTGAACTGAAGAGCTTCAGGGTCTAGTGTTTGGGGTTTAAGTTTAGGGCAAGTTCAGGGCTGGGGGTTGCGAGGAATCTTCGGGTGCACAGAAACTCGGTCAGGACCCGCTGGTGCTCGCTGCCACCAACGGCCACGCCAAGGCTACATGAAGTCAAAACCCTCAACCCCTAAACCTCTAATAAACCCCTAAGCCCGAAACCCTAAACCTGCTTACGCCCTGGACGCGGTAGGATTTGAGGTGTCGTAAAGCCCAAATCCCGAACCTCCAAGGCTTTGATTCCCGCCCCCAGAACACGAATGTGGGTTTAGGCTTTAGGGTTTGGGGTTTAGGGACAAGCCCCATCGAAATGTAAACAACATCTAAGGCATACATTGCTTGAATTGCTTGAAGAGCCCCTATAAGCCTTGGTGCAGAAGCCCTAAACCCCTAAATCCTAAACCAAGCATTTAAAGGTTGCTGCGGTCCTGCAGCGAGCTGGAGCACGCTTGGATGCTGTGGTGTAGAAGTTGTTCAAGCCCCGCAGTGTACTACAGGGGCCTTAATAATTACCTATGTTGTTGCTTAGTATACGTATAGTATAATGGGCCCCAAACACCCTATTCTAATTATTAAGGCCCCTACGTCAGGCTTGTGGATTCAGAGCTTAAGGCTTAAGGTTATATGGTTTCAGATTGAGGGCTTGTAGTTCAGGATCGTGGTGGTCGTATGGTTGTAGGGTTTTCGGGTTTTGCGTGTCTACAGGGGGTTTAAGCAGGGCTTGGGAGGGATGAAATAATTACAAGTGTCAGTCCAGGGGTTTTAAGAAGAGGTGTACGGAGCACAAGCCTCAGGACCTACGCAAAGCTTAAAACCCGGCTTCTTAACCGTAAGGCGATGCGTAGATACAACTACAGGCACCTTGCTTGCAAACTTATTTGCAACCACCTGATTCCAAGGGTAAAAGGAGGGACCCTTAATAAGGACCCCGAGGTATATACCCTTAATCTAGCTATTATATACCCATTATTTAGCCCATTATGGGGTAGGGGTCCCCATTAAGGGTCCCTCCTTTTCCCTTTTGACTGATGTAACTTCTGACCCCTGACCCCCCGAAGCCTGATCCAGACCATCCCACCCTGTGCCCGACACTCGCCTTGCTGGTAACTCTGCAGAGGAGCAGACCCGAAAACCCACCTGCAAAGACCGAAGCCCCAAGCCACAACCCCGGAACCCTGAATCCTAAACCCTAAATCCTGAAGCCTTGAGGCTTTCAAAGCCCTAAAAGCGCCGCTGAAGCCCTTAATAGCCCTTTACGGCCTTCCACCGGCCTCCTCCTTTCTTCAAAGGGGAAAAGGAGGGACCCTTAATGGGGACCCCTACCCTAGAATGGGCTATATGATGGGTATATAATGGCAAAATGAAGGGTATATACCTAAGAGTCCCTCCTTTTACCTTGGATTTCTGCCAAGGACCTGCAGGCCGAGGCACCCCAGACAGGGCTGCCCATGTGGGCGCAGGCCTCGCCGAAAGCGAGGTGGCGTGGAACCCAGAGACTCCAATACCCCTTAATTAAGGAATATACCTTAAATATTTATTAGGTACCCTCCTATTATTTAAGGTATATTCCCTAATTAAGGGGTATTGGAGTCTCTGGGAAGGGAGGGGTGGGGACTGCGGAAATGAGGGGTTTAGAGGTTTAGGCCTTGCCGGGAGCTTCGAGTGCAGAAAAGAGAGATTTGGGGTGTAGGGTTTTTTAGAGTTTTGGGGCAGGCTTCTGGTTCAGAGTTTAAGCTCGAGTTTTGGGCTGGGGATATTAAGGTTGCGGGTGTGCGACTTTGGTCTTAGGCTCTAGGGCCCAACCTTCAGGTGTTTTGGCTTTGTGGGAGTTTATGACCCAGAAGCCATCGATTCGTTTTCTTCTGGGCTCGCTAGTCCAGGTTGGTGCGGGCTGAGTTCGGGTGCATCTTGAGTAGGGTTTAGGGTTTCTTCCCCCTCCGATCCATTAATCCTTGAGGTGCCACTCCAGAGATCGATTTCCATTTCCAGAAGCTAACGCACCAAACCCTAAACGAACATTCCTTACGCCCGAAGTGCGAGGAAAAAGCTCTAGAGCACTGAAGTTCCAAACCGCTTGAAATACAAATCAGGCCTCGAGAAAGCCCTTTCGCATGCCTTATAAGTTCCGGCAGTATCTTCTACTTGGAGGGTCGGGGGACTTAGTAAGTAGGTAGTAAGTAGACTTATAAGTACCGTAAAGGGACCCCAATTGGGATTATGGTATTTAAAACTCCGTAAAGTAACCAGTTACTAAGTGCCCCGACCCTCCAAGTAGCAACACCTAAGCCTCTGAAACTCGAAGGTTGCCCAGCCGCAGAAGGCAATAACCCGAGAGCCCCATGAGCTGGCACCCAAACCCCTAAGCCCTGAACCCTAAGCCAAAACGGAAAAGAACGTGTCAAAGTCAGAAATGCCAAATCGAAAAGACCTAGGAGCGAGGAGAACAGCTCAGAAGGAAGCCTTAAATCCGAATTCCTAAGCCCATGCACCCATATAGAGTCCTTGCTAAATGTGTAGATCCCAAACAGATCTCCCGAATGAATGGATCAAACTGAGCTCTAAACCCACATAGAGACCCAGAGCCCCAAAGACCCCTTCAAGGAGCCTGCAAAACCCTCCCTTAAAACAGAAGCCCGAAACTCCGAAGGACGCTTGGCCTGGTCGAGCCCACCTTCGTTTGGCACCTGGGGGTTTTGGTGGGCCAATGGGAAGCTCGGTGGCTCACTTTTGCAACTCTTTAGGGTTTAGGGCCTTGGGGTTGGAGGGTTTGCATAGAGTAAGGGTTTAGGGTTTAGGGTTGAGGCCTTTGAAGGGTTCCAGTAAAGGGTCCACTGAAATAATGTGAAGGGTTCCTTTAAGGATTCTTTTGGTGCTTTAGGATCTCCTTCACAGGGTTCTGGTGGAACGGAGCCTTTTTAACGGGCTGTTGCAAAGGGTTCGATTATGAGGATTTTCTCTCCCTACTGGGATCTTTTTTCTTAGGGCTCCAACCCTCAGCCCTAAACCTCTAAACCCTCTAAACCCTTAAACCCTTTTACCTCAAGACCTAAACCCTAAGCACGAAGCACGCCAACCCTAAGGAGACCTGCAAAAACAGACCAGGAGAACCCTAAGGAATCCTTTAAAGGAGCCCTAAGGATCCTTTACTAAACCCTACGCCAACCCTTACACCCTAAACCCCTAAACCCTTACACCCTAAACCCGTAAACCCTAAATCCTAAACCCTGAGCCCTAAATCCTAAACCCTGAACCCTAAACCCTGAAACCCTGAAACCTAAGACCCTGAACCCTGCGCCAACCCTTAGGAGACCCACAAAAACAGACCAGGAGAAAGGAGCCCTAAAGAATCCTTTAAAGGAGCCATAATGAATCCTGTACTAAACCCTACGCCAACCCTACTTAGAGGATCATGGAACTTAGCAAGTAGGTTATAATTGGGGTTATAAGTCCCCTAAGTGGGGTTATCCTAATTATAACCTACTTGTAACCTTACTTACTAAGTCCCATGAGCTTTTAAGTAAGGAGACCCACGTGGCGGTCTTGGGCGGACTCTTCCTGTCGCTGCTGCTGGCACTCTCAGAACGGTGGCTCCAGGGAGAAGGCATCGTGCCCGAGGCCTGGCTTGCATATTTAGGGGATCCATAAGGGTACGAATCATAGTATAGGGGTTCCTATAAGGGATCTATAAGGGTACTAATGATAGGGTTTAGGGTGTCTGGGGTGTTTAGGGTGTTTAGGGTGTTAATTAGGGTGTTAGGGTGTTTAGGGTGTTTAATAGGGTTTGGGGTTTAGCATTTAGCGTGCAGGGTTTAGGGTTTAGGGGTTAGCGGGTCTGTAAGGAAAGGTATCTGAAAGGATCTTTGAAAGGGTGCGGGCACATAGGGCGCTGCGGTACTCTGCCGACTTGACAGTTTAAGAAACCGAGGTGCGTGTTTGCAGAATCAAACATCAGTGTAGCACCTGCCGGAAACGATTGTAAGCTGGACAGGATTGCATTGAGCCAGTTACCGCTTTTGCAGTCGTCATGATGCTATTCATCATCATCGCCATCGCCACATGGTGTTGTGTATAAATGTCGCGCACAGATGCCAGAAAGCTGAACATGCCAGTGTTCAGGCATGCTGACACAAGTATCATGCGTCTTATGGCAGAAGTTTCAGGCATCCTTCTTCAGTGTCTTGTATACAAGCGGCGAATTGCTGCAAATACCAGATATTTGGGCATGCTCGCGAAGGCTGGGGAGGGTGCATCAACGTCAAACATCCGTCTGCAGTATGTTCTATGACTTGGCAAAAAGCTGGAAATTGGACATGATCGCTGCCAGAACCAACAACGGCATCCCTACCCACTCCTCACCCTCCTAACCAGGGAATGATCCGAAATGTCTCGAACACGCATGAGAACCCACGAAATCAGCATGGCACCCGACGCCCGCTACTAGTAGCTGCTGAAAGGGTTCTATAAGGGACGTTTAGAGAGTTGTGAAGAACTTCGGGAACTGTAGGATTTTTGCTGCAGGGTTCTTTAGGTAGAGGTCTGCGACATTTTATTCGGAGTTCTTGTTCACGAATTTTAATGCACGATGTCATCGGACGCGGAGTGAACAAACGACTTTGCATATCACGGGTTTCTTGAAGTTATCTCTTGTAGTTCTTATCCACGTCGTTTGCAGCATGTCGAACATGCCTCAGCCAAATTAGGCCAGCACACAACGTTACCAAGTTCCCTAAATTGAGGAATGTTCCTTAAGCAATCAAACGAGTACCACGAGCAACCCGGTGGAGCTTTCCCACTGCATTTCCTGTTTTGCCAGGTGGAGTAGGGTTCATACTTTGGTCGTCTTTGTGAGAGAATATAGGGCTCCATCGACATATTGGTGAGTGCATACTCTGCGTGTCATGATGGGGATACTGATAAACTGGCAAGGGTTTAGGGTTCAGGGGTTTGGGGAATGCAGTGTAGTCGGTTGTCGAACTGCATTTTCATCGTGTAGCCAGAGCTTTCACCGCATCCTCAAACCCTAAACCCTATAAACCCTAAACCCCCTAAACCCTAAACCCTTGCAAATGTTTAAATCCAAATTCCTAAACCCTGGACTCTGCATCCTGAGCTCTGCCTTAACCCCAAGTAACCTACCCTTTTATGGACTTATACAAAGAAAACATATTGGGGAACCCTAAAAAGGCAGGTTCTTAGTTTTAGGGTCCAAGTATACCCCAAACCCAAAACCCTAAACCCCAAAACCCTTAAACCCCTAGAACCTTAAACCCCTAAACCCCTAAGCCCCTAAACCCCAGACCCTGATAGTACCCCTGTAGTAACCCCTATAGATCCCTTAAAGGGACCCTAGACCCTAAACCCCGAAAGCCCTAAGGACTGGGGGCCTCCCAAGCTGCCCCTCGCGGAAGCCAAGGACAGGGGTATTTGAGTGGTTGTCAAAATTGGGGTCCCCCTTTTGGGTACCCAAAATTTGTTCCGTATTATAATAGGGACCCAAACAAGGACCATGATTTTGACAACCGCCCATTTAGGTGAGGGTTTAGGGTTGAAGGGTTTTGGTGGCCCTAGTATCAACCAACATCTGCCATGGTATAGTATTGTTATAGTATGGTCTACTGTACTATAGTGTCTGTGATTATAGTATGAAATATGATATAGTATGATTAGAGTCTGGTATCAATAATTGTATAGTCCTATTGTAGTATTTAGGTGGCCCGGATTGTCACTCGGACCGGAAAATGCACAAACACCTTCTCGGAGCAATCTTGGCTTCGAGACCCTTTGTCCGATTCAAGTTTTTTTTTCAGGTTGCTTGGAGGATCATGGGACTTAATAAGTATGGTTATAAGTACCTGAAGTGGAGTTATAGGTAATTCTAAGTATGGTTACCTTAATTATACAGTATGGGCCGCCCTGGCGGCGTGTATTTCCGTACAAGCATGTTGATGCATTTGAGAATAGTTATTAGTATACAAATCTAAATACAAGGTTTAAAAGAACCGTTACTAATAGCATATTCCAAATACAAGGATAAGATTAGGTATTAAAACGTGTTGTAAGCTCACCCCTTTTGCGTATTTTCTTTTTTTTTGTACATGTAATTATAACCCTGGTTAATAAGTCTCATGATCCTCTAAGTAGGACTGTGCACGCCGTCGTTAGATTGTGACCCAGGTCACAAAAGGAACACGAAGCACAAATCCAGGTGCCCTAAAATTTGCCCTAGACACACAACCCTAAACCTGGACCGCAAAACTGCACATACCACCTCCGGACATGCTACGTGCTAAAGTCGAGGGGCCCACGATCCCCGGAGGATGCAGGTCAAGCTGCGGAAGCGAGTTCGAAGCAGGCCGAGACGGGGTCAGGGCTGCTTGTTATCATGATCATTCTCAGGGTTGGGTTTTTGGGTTTAGGGTCTTGGGGTTTTGGGTTTGGCGTGGGTTTAGGGCATTATCATGCACCAACCATGATCAGGATCCTGCTCATCGTAGTGATGATGCTGACTGCTATACTGACATCATCATTCGTACCTTGAGTGGGCTTCTGAGATTTACCGTGAGTATAACCCTAGGTACAAAGGCCCGTGAGCCTGCAAGTAGGATGACTATCAGGCTTCCGTCAGGAAGGTTTAGGGTGGGGCGTCGGTTTAGGGTGTTTACGGGGCCCGAATCATTGGTTATATTACCCTAAACCCTAAACCCTAAACCCTAAACCCTAAACCCTAAACCCAAAACCCTAAACCCTAAACCGCGGTTATATGTTCCTGATTAGAAACCCCAAACCTCTAAGTCTCAGTATGCAGACCCCAAACTCCCACTTTACCAAACCCTGAGCCGTGAACGGTAAGTATAGACTCGTCGAAACCCAAGGCCCTACACCTTGAAACGCTCGTCCAAGACCCTTTTACAGAAACTATAGCAAGAGTGTTTTGTGTCCTCAACAGCCGCCGTCTGAAGGATGCTTTTGGGTGCTGGATCGACGGGGCGAGGTTCGGCACGGGAGGAACAATTAGGGGCTTATTGCTCGCTTTGGAGGGTCGCATAGAGTGAAGAAATGCCGTTGGGCTTGCATCCTGACTGCCGACCTTTGAAAGCCGTATGGCCGTATGACTTGTTGCCACTGCTTTGGGTTTTTTTGCCAAGGACTGGGACAACTAAGTACGACGATTTGTTGCCACAGCAGGCTTGAAAGAATCTGATCAGTGGTCTATCGGGATGAACAATGGCCACGCCGCGAACTCTTCACGGACTGGAGCGGCGGAAGCCCAAACCCTGAGCCTGGAGCCGCAAACCCTAAAAGCCACAACCCGAAACCCAAAACCCAACGAAGTCGGAACGCTGAGAAACCCTACTGGGCCTTCACAATCTCTTCTAGGTGTCTTATCCACAATAGAATGCTTAAATTCCCAAGCCATGAGCCCTAAACCACCACAGATGCCTAAGCCTCAAACACCGCCCTAAAGCTTCTAGAGCCTACGCCCTCTAATACCCTTGAAGGAATCCTGAAAAGAGCCGTTTAGAAAGTCGTGTAGGAGATTAAACTGTGCTATGTCGATGTATGGCAGTCAGTTCTGCTGCTCATGTACATATCGGAACCCATCCCCAGGCAGAATGACAGGCCTCAACATTGCATCCATTTCTGTATGTCATACATAGCCGACCCGGCACTTCTCGGGCGAGAAGCTCGGCGTCCGTGTGCACGGCGTGTCTTGAAGGAACCCTTCAAAGAAACCTTAAGGGAACCCTTTAAAGGAGTCCTTGAATTTCAACCCTTTACCCGCGAAACCTTGAACCCTAGACCCTAAACCTTAAAGCCGAAAAACCCTAGACCCTTCAACCCTAAAACCCTAAAAACCTTTAAAGATGCCTTAAACCCCAAACATCCCTAGACCCTTGAACCCTAAACCTCAAACCCTAAACTTCAAGCCCTCAACCCTACTTGGAGGATCATGGGACCTAGTAAGCAAGGTTATAAATAAGTACCCTAAGTGGGGATCTAAGTAGTTATGAGTACACTTACCTTAATTATAACCCTAGTTACTAAGTCCCATGATCCTTTAAGTAAAGCTTAAACCCTAAACCCCTAAACCCTAACCCCTAAACCCTAAACTTCAAGCCCCTCAAGCCTAAACCCTTTGAGGAGCCCTTTATTTAAAGAAACCCTTAGAGATCCTAAATCCTTAAGCCCTTTAAAGGGGCCCTTTAAAGAAAGACCCTTAGGCTCCTCGCGGCGGGCGCGCAGAAGCCTTCCGGGCAGCGGCTCCTCCTCCGGTGCCGCCGGCTCCTCGAGGCTTTCGGGGGGTCCCTTTAAAGGCACCTTATTGGGGGATCTATAGGGGCCGTTTAGGGGTCCCTTTAAAGGGCTTCTGGGGGATCTATAGGGGTTCCTCTAAGGGTCCCTTTAAAGGGACCTTTTAGGGGATCTATAGGGGTCCCTTGAAAGGGACCCTTAGGGGATCTATAGGGTCCCTTTAGGGGTCCGTCCCTTTAAAGGGATTTCTAGGGGATCTATAGGGTCCTTTTAGGGGTCCCTTTAAAGGGATTTTTAGGGCATCTATAGGGTCCCTTTAAGGGTCCTTTGGGTTTAAGATTCAGGGTCCCCTTAAGGGTCCCTTTAAAAGGGTCCCGAATAAAGGGACGGTCGGGAACTGTAGAGAACTACAGGGAACTATCGCCGGGCAGGGTTTCAGCACGCAGGCCTCCAATTGCACCCCCCTAGAAGGCCTAAATCCTAAACCCTAGACCCTAAACCCTGAAATCCTACAAAACCCAAACCCCATAGTTTCCCTACCGTCCTTCTAGAGGGCCCCCCGACACCTAACCCTCCCTACAGTCCCATTAAAGCGGCCCCAAAGATCCCCCAAAGGAACCCTTAAAGGGACCCTGTAAGCCCTAAACCTCTAAACCCGTGTTGCTGGAGAAAAGGAGCGACCAGAAACATAAAAGCCTTTAAACTTTAAACCCTAAAGCCTTAAAGAGGCCTGGGCCAATGTGACGATCTCCTGCTCATGGGGCTTCCTCGTCGTCTTCTGGCCCTACTGGGCGGCTCTGGTCTTGCTTGCGGGCACCGGCCTGTTTTGGGATCTTAATGATATAAATCCTGCATTACCTTAAGGACCTTAAACTATGGGAATAATGGTATATTCCTTATTATGGGTAGTGCAGGATTTATATCATCGATTGTCGTCCTTCCGTTTTAGGGGGATTCCTTGAAGAGCCCGGTTGAGGCTTTGGGGATCTTTAAGTTTTTGGGCTCAGGTTTCAGGGATTCGGGCTTGAGGTTTCGGGTTTCTACCGTGGCTACACAAAGACTCTGATTTTTTACAATAACTAGGTAGGGCTTTGGGGCATTTTATATTTTCCCTTATTGGGCTTAAGAGGATCTTATTTCCTAATATTTTTCAAAGGCTTTGAAAGCCCCACCTAGGTAAGTCTTGCTCTGACCAAAGTACCTTCGCGCGTCGTCGCTTTGGGGGAGGAGGGGGGGGCGGGGTTCGGCCTTTAGGCGTGGTTTTGGTCCTGTGGGACCCTAAATGCTTAAGGTCCCTTTAAGGGATCTATAGGGGTACTATAAGGGTTTAGGGTTTAGGGGTTTAGATATGGGAGTTTCCGAAAATAGGGGACCCGAAGATCGTACCCTAAATAGTAGGATCCTTATTATAAGGACCTCAAAATAAGGTATCCCTCATTCTCGGAAACTCCCATGTAGAGGCGTTTGCTTGCGCCTGGCTTCTAAGCCCGCAGCCCAGTCCCCACTCCCGACCCGAACTTCCAAACCCTGCGTTTTTTTCATAATATAGGGGTCTAAATAATTACCTATACTATTGCTCGGGTTCCTTGTATCAGGGGCCCCCAAACCCTATTCTAATCATTAAGGCCCTTATATCACAGCTGAAACCCAGAGCACCCCAAGTCTTACGAAGGTACACTGCTCTCAGTACTTAAACGCTCATGGGACTTAGCAAGTAAGGTTATAAGTAGGTTATAATTAGGAGAACCCCACTTAGGGGACTTATAACCCCAATTATAACCTACTTACTAAGTCCCAAGATCCTCTAAGTAGACCCTAAACCCTAAACCCTATAGATCCCTTTAAGGAACCCTCTAGATCCCTATAAGGACCCCTTAAAGGAACCCTATAACTGCTCTCAGTATCGATGAGGCTTGAAGATGCCAGGCCCCCACACCACAAGTTCTCATGGCGGCCTTGCAGCCATGAGGTTAGACTTTCAATCGCCACCGAAGGCCAAAACATCCTAACCCTAAAGAAAACCCAAACCCTGAATCCTACATGGGTGGTTGTCAAAATTAGGGTCCCTTTTTGGGTTCCTATCAAAATACGGCACCTATTATTTAGGGTACCCAAAAAGGGACCATAATTTTGCAAACCACCCACATACTGAACCCTAGACCCAAGGCTCGACAAGCTATCGCCGGAGCCCAACAATAAGCCCCTAATGTAGGGGCCTTCATAATTAGAATAGGGCTTGGGGGGTTCCTTATTCTAATTGTGGTATAATATACCTCCAAACCCTATGCTAATTATTCAGGCCCCTACAGTAGATACCAAGCTGGCCTATGGTATAAAATACCCCAAAAACCCTATTCTAATTATTAAGGCCCCTACTTTAGGACTTTGCACCATCGGAAAAAAAGGCCCCTACAGTAGACCCTAAGCCCTGAGCCTCCGTCCGAAGCATTGAAACCCTCGGAAGAACAGGGATCCTCAGGACTACTTAGAGGATCTTGGGACTTAGTAAGTAGGTTATAATTGGGGTTATAAGTCCCCTAAGTGGGGTTATCCTAATTATAACCGACGTATAACCTTACTTACTAAGTCCCATGAGCCTTTTAGCACTCCCTAAACCCTAAACCCTATAGATACCTTTAAGGAACCCTCTAGATCCCTATAAGGACCCCTTAAAGGAACCTTACTAAGTCCCATGAGCCTTTTAGTAGGATTCGGGCCTTCAGAGGTTTCAAGGTTGGGGGTTCAGGGCGGTCGAGTGGTTTAGGGTTTACCTTACTCTACCAAAAACTACTTTCTTGTAGGTTTTCTATAAATTCCATATTAGGGTTTATAGTAAGAACCTCCAAAAAAGGAGGGTTTGGTATGTTAAGGTAGGGTTTCGTAACACAGAATCAACCCCATCCTCAAGTGCGAAAAGCCGCAAACCCTGCAAGGGGGGGGCCAGTGTTCAGGATTTAGTGTTTGGGGCTGTCCCCTCATGCCCTAAACTCTAATTAATCTCTAAACCCTACCCTAAACCCTAAAAAACCTTAAACCCTGTGCAAGATTATAAGGAAAAGCGCTATGCATAAGCGCTGAAACCCGAAGCGTTTGCCAGGCCTTTCTGGGTCCAGCCGTCTTTCAATTTTCCGCGGCCGCGCTCCTCAGCACCTTGGCGATTCGGGTGTAAAGTTCAGGGTTTCGGGTGGGTGAGGGTTCGTTTTTTTTTGGTGGTTTTCGGTCCCTAAGCCCAAAACCTGTTCATTTTACTCCCACCCCGAAGAAGGCGCCCTAGGCACGGCTTGGAGTTGCCGCTCACTCACTCATTCACTCAAGCAGCCTTCTGAAACCAAGGGAACCCTAAATCCAAGAAAGGATCCTAAACCTAAAACCCTAAACCATTAAGGGAACCCTTAACCCCAGCCGAAACCCTAAACCCTGAAACCCTAAAGCCCCAAGAGAGGACGGCCCTCCCTGATCTTTGGTGCTGCCGGCCTCCGCGGCGAGGCGCTCGCCGCGATGAGTGGCTGGGCCCAGCTTTAGGGACGTAGGTTCTTGTAAAGGAGCTTTAAGAGTTCCTTGGGTTTACAGGTTTAGGGTTGCGGGTTTACGGGTTTGGGGTTTTGGTTTTGGGCTTTTATGTTCGCGGTTTGAGGGTTTCGGTGGTCGAGGGTGTTACAGGGTTTTCTAGTTCTACCAGCTTCTACAAGATCGTCATAAGGTTGTCACGGTTGGGGCTTCAGGGATTTATTCTAGATGTCTGAGGATGTTGCATAGGGCCTTTTTGGAGAAACAGGTTTAGGGTTTAGGGATTAGGGATTGGGGTTGTGGGGGTGTTCGGGCTTTGGCGGTTGAGGCTTCGAGTCGAAACTCAGGGCTGAAACACGAAATAACAATTTCGAAAAAAAATCTTAAAATAATCTCAGAAGTGCTCTGTATTCCTTCTCTAGTATGTCTCTTTGCTGCAGGAGAGGACATTCTGCACCTTAAGTAGAACACCCAACATCCGACAGCACAAAGTAGTCGTAACAATTGAGACTTCCATGGCCTTAATGTGTGAAGGCATGGGGCTTTGCAAGCACATTCCTCAGCGATGTTGTGGCTTAGCCCTAAACCCTGAACTCTAAGTCCGAACCCCAAACTCTGAGTTCGAACCCCTAAACCCTTAAAGTAAAAGCCAGAAAGTTGGAATATGATTATCCTAAACCCTTTATGGTAAATTATAAGGTATCCTACCCTGAAACCAAATTCCAACTTTCTGGAGTTCCCTTGAAAGGGATTTCCAGGTCACTTGTCCACCGCAGCTGCAGACATCTGAAAACAATAGCGGATTTTCTGATGTTGTATTGTTTTCATGGGCTTAGTGTAGAGGAGTTTTATCGGTGTTGAACCCCTCCCCCTCTAAGGCCCGCGACCCCTAAACCCTAAACCCTAAACTTAAACCCTAACCCCAAACCTTAAAACCTAAACCCTAAACTTAAGGGCAAAAGACCAAACCCTAAACCCTAAACTCAACGCAAGAGCCCAAGGGCTCCTCTTGCTTCTGCTCCTCCTGGCTCTCACTGGCGACCCGTTGGAGGGAGTGGGAAGCCTCGATGCGCCGGCGCGGGAAGGCCGGGGGGAAGAGCCTTCCCTTCTTTTGGAGGATTTTAGGGTCCTATGGGGTAACGGTTACTTTAAGGGTACTATAGGGATTTGAGGTTTAAGGTTTAAGGGCTAGGGGTTTTGGAGGTTTGGGGGCACGGATTTGGGCGTTGGCTTCTGCATGGCATCTTACATAGGGTACCTAGCGCTTTTAACACGGTTTTATAGTGGTGTCACTACGGTTGATGATATGAATCCTGCATTACCTCAAGAACCCTAAACTATGGGAATTATGGTATATTCCTTATGATGGGTAATGCAGGATTTATATCATCAACAGCATATCATCGTCCCTTATAGTAGCCCTTATGGACCCCCTTTAAAGGAACCCCATTCTATTACCAAGTGGGGAGGCGCAGAAACCCCAAGAACCGTAGTATCATCCCTAAACCCTAAACCCCCTATAGATCCCTTAAAGGGTTTAGGGTTTAGGGTTTAGGGTTTAGGGTTTAGGGTTTAGGGAATCCCTTAACTGTGCCCTTATAGATCCCTTTAAGGGTAATGCAGGATTTATATCATCAACCGTAGGGCTCTGTAAGGCCTGCACTTAGGGACTCTCTAGGGAACTGGCGACTTCCAGGTTTTGGAGTTTCGGGGTCATGGTATATGAAGTAGGGTTTTAATTACCCGCTTTGGTGAGTGTAGGTAGGGCTCCCTTTCAATATTGGTGAGTGTATATATTGGGTTTTATTATGGGGGTACTAGTAATATGAACCATAGACCATATATTGTTGATGATATAAATCCGGCATTACCTTTAAAGGGATCTATAAGGGCACCTTTAAGGGATTCCTTTAAGGGATCTATAGGGGGTTTAGGGTTTAGGGATGATATATAAATCCTGCATTACCCATAATAAGGAATATACCATAATTCCCATGGTTTAGGGTCCTTAAGGTAATGCAGGATTTGTATCATCAACCGTAGTACAGAGGGTTTGAGGCTCGGTTTGCGACTGTTACGAAACGTTGAGTCACAACGTGACTCAAGTTTTTGTTGAATAGATGGCTTGGCATTGGGCTGCCGCCACCTAACACCGAGACGCAGAGCAGCAACGGAGGTCCTTTTTGGAGAAGTTTCAACTACGAAGCATCTGATTGGCTGAAAACTCTAACCCTAAACCCATAGTTCATAATGCTTATACCCAAAACCCTGCACCTTAAACCCTGAACCCTAGCAAAGGATCTCCTTTGGGGGGATGAAGGCCATGGGCCAGCTAGCTATCTCCACCAACTCGCCAGGAGGGATCCGTCCGGATCACTTCTCGTGCTGCCCAGAAACCTTGCCGGTAATGCAGAGATCCTAAGCCCAAATTCGAAACCAAAGACCTCACAAGTAATGCCAGCTTCGGTGGATGCCACAAAAGGTGCAGTGCAACTGCCTTCTGGTATCACAGAACCCTAAACCCTAAACTCTGAACCCCACACCCCCTAAACCCTAATAAACCCTTCTGGGATTTCAAAACCTTAGATACCAAACCCTTAACCCCAAATCCCTAAGCCCTAAACCCTAACCCTTCTGGGATTTCAAGAACCTGAATCTTCGATCCTTGACCCAAACCCGGCTACTGGGAGGCGTGTGGGATGCTCTTTTTGCACCGTCGCGACCCGGAGACCAACTTAGTAGTCAGGGTGTGGTGCAGGTAGGGTGATTTCTCTGTGAGTGTGTTATAGGGGTACTGCAAGTGTAGGAACAGGGTTCAGCTAACGTCACTGTTTGCACAACCCAGCTGTACAAGCAGAACTAGTTAAGGGCCTTAGCACTTACCTATACTCTTTTGGGGTTCGTTATTCGTATACGGGGCCCCAATTCCCTATTCTGATTATTACGGCCCCTACATTACACTCACAAATTAGCACTCCCAGGCCACAGGAAAGGGATGATATAGCCGGACGAGTTTCTGCCAGCCTGCCCGTGGCCCTCTAGAGTTGAGGGCTTACGGTTGAGTGTAAACCGTACACTTAGGGACCCAAAAGCACATAAGCATAAGCATTGTATGGGGATATCGGATATCCCTACCTTATTGGGCTTCATTATACGGGGGTTTATATGGGACATCCCTATCCTAAGTTTTGCTTATGTGCTTTTTTGGGGCCCTATAAACTCCGCACCATGAACCCCCTAACCCCTAAACCCCCTAAGCCCTAAACCAACCCTAACCCTAAACCCCTAACCCCTAAACCCCTAAACCCTGAACCGTCGTTGAGCCCTTTCAATGTGAAGGCTCCGGGCCAGGGCTTCCGGCGTTTAGGGCTGAGCACGGATTTGTTGGAATCCGCGAGAGGCCGTGCATGCGAGCTTATGATTCAGGGGTTTAGGGTTTAGGGCTTATGATTCAGGGGTTTAGGGTTTAGGGTTTAGGATTCAGGGGTTTAGGGGTTTCAAGGGCTTTCAGGGCGCAGGGTTGGTCTGGACAGTTTCAGGTCCTCCCGTCGACAAGGGTTTTATCGAACTCTCGCATAGGCTTTAGGGTTTAGGGTTTAGGGCAACTGTAGACAAAAACCCAAAATGTAGGCCTTCTAACCCTTACAGATCAGTCCTTCGGCCCTTGCAAAGCCCCCGTACAACCAAAACCCGACCAACCCTACACCTTGAAGAAAGCCCCAAACCCAAAACGGCAAGCCCTGAAGGCTACATCCCAAACTCTTCAGCACTACTATTGTGGGGGTTCTTATAATGACTATGACTATAGTTTTAATTTAACCCAAAACGCTGTTCTAGTTATCCAAACACCAACTTCTGTTCTCGATTTGAAGGACAAACCGCACGAGTCCCAAACCCCCAAACTGTAAAGCCCAAGCCCTAAGCCCCAAACCCCTAAAACCCCCTAAAAACCCCTAAATCCCTAAACCCATTTACCCCTAAATCCTTAAATCCACAAAAAACCCAAAATCGCTTTTTGTGGTTTAAGCCCTGCGCCCTCCCAGACCTTCCAAAATCCCTTAATTAAGGAAGGTACCTTATCTTAGGGTTCCTTTTTAAAGGGCTCCTTAAAGGGATCTATAAAGCGGGTCTACAAGGGAATTAAGGAATATACCTTAAATTATAGTAGGATCCCTAATATGGTTTAAAGTATATTCCTTAATTAAGGGGTTTTGGAGTCTCTGGGCTCAGGTACGTCGATTTTCAAGGCCAGAGCTTGGAGAACATTCGCAGCGACGGCCGCCCACTGGCTGGCCTTGGAAACCACGACAGGCGGGTCTGGGGTTCAGGGTTTAGGGTTTAGGTTTAGGTTTAGGGTTTAGGGCTCAGGGTTTAGGGTTTGAGAATTTACTAGTAGTGATAACAGAAATAAGAGCAGCATCAAATCAGCAGCAACATGAAGGGCTGCCAAGAACCGAGAATAGTAAGTAGTTCAGGGCTTCGGCTTTGGCAATAGCAGTTGGTATGAGCACGGCCAGGGTAGCAGCACCATGATCGTAGTAGTAAGAATACTAGCACCACTGGTACAAGTACACACAGCATAAGCAATTTATCCTGCTATCATGTTTTCAGAATCATGGTATTCGTGCTTAGCAGTACTGTCAGCTACAAGACTGATAACATATAAAGCCGTCATGATCGCGTAAGTGTTCGCGGTTTAAGGATGTCTCTAACTTCCGGTTTAGGGACTTAGGCCTTCGGCTTCTGGGGTGTAAGACATAAGCCCTAAACCCTAAACCCTAAGACATGAGGTTTCGGATGGTCTGGGCCGCATAGGATTTTGTTGGGGGTGCCTCTCGGCTGCTGCAAGCCGTAATGAAGAATAGAGGGGCCTTAATGATTAGAATAAGGCTTTGTGGCCCATAAGACTATAAACATAATGAAGAAACCCCCAAATAATATGGGTAGTTTTTAAGTTATTAAGGCCCGTAATTATTTCGTAGTCACTACCGTAGGATTAACAAGGTTTGCAAGGTTCAATTCCTGGGATTTCGCGGTTTGGGTGGAGTGATCCACATCCCCAACCCTAAACCCGAAACTGCTTTATGGCAAGCTGTTGGAGCCTTTGGGATCCTCTAAGAATCCTGCAGTAGACGCAGTAAGTTGGAAGACTGGGTTTGAGGTTGTTGGTTTAGGTTGCGGGCTATTGTGGCTGTAATTCAAGACCTAGCTCAAGGCATCCAGGTCGGAAAGCAGCAGTTCCTTGAAATACAACCCTGTAACATGGTTGCCAACAGTTCAGAAAACCTCTATAGTTAAGGACTGCTAGAGCGGGACTCCCTGTGTTAAACCCTATCCCCTCAATTTTGAGTGCTATGCTGGTGCAGAAATCTGTCTGCTGCCGTAGACTGAGCGCTGAGCCAAAAGTTCGAAGCCTTAGAACCCGTTTTAGGGTTTTCGAGTTTGTGGTGAAGAGGTTTTGGGGTTTCAGGCTTCAGAGTGTCTAGGTTTCAGGGCTTAATGTAGGGGCCTAAGCAATTACCACCGTATTGTCGTACCCTTTACAGCTCCCCTTATAGATCCCCTTAGAGACCCCCTTTAAAGGAACCCTTTAAAGGGAGCCCCTATTCTAAGTTTAGGGGGTTCCAGCCCCTAAACCCTAAACTCTACACCCTAAACCCTACACCCTAAACCCTAAACCCTAAACCCTAAACGCTACACCCTAAACCCTAAACCCTAAACGCTACACCCTAAACCCTAAACCCCTAAACCCTACACCCCAAACCCCTAAACCCCAAACCCTAGAGACCCGAAACCCTAAAGACCCTCAAACCCTAAACCGGAGTTTCGAGTCCTTAGCTTCCCGGGACCCTGGAGGCGCATCTTTGCGAGGGCTGCAGGATGGTGGCCAAAGCAGCCTCTTGGCTGCCTCTTACGATTTAGGGTTCTAGGGATTTTGGGGTTTTGGGGTTTTTGGAGGTTTAAGGTTTAGGGTTGTAGGGTTTTTGGGGTTGGAGGGTTTTTGGGTTTAGGTTTGCAGGAATTTAGGGTTTTGGATCCTCCCATACACCCTTAAACCCCAACCCTGGGAGGATCCAACCAGTAGATCTACAAAGCACCCCTTCATAGCTGTAGTTTTGGTTCCCGGATAAGGGCTAAGCAATCATGAACAATAGAAGTAATAGAAGAAATGATGAGGATTAGGATGATAGATATGGTAAGCTATGGTAAGGATGCAAAGGATAATCAGGATAACAAAGAAGAGTTGAATGGTAAAGATGATAATCATGATACTGATAGCAATGACATCAGTGACAACGATTTTCATGCCTGCAATGTTGGCATCAAGAATCAGACTTTTACAACGGTAATCATGGCAAACATGGTAATCGGGTAACAATGATAATGATTAGAACCATGGGAGTTTTGGCAAGAAGCAGTCACAATGACAAAATGATAGTGATGTTAATACGGTTGGTAAAGTTACTATCCTCATCATGCTCGCAATAGTTTTAAGAGTTAAAACAAATTGCAGTCATGTTCTGTCATATTGATACAAAAAATTTTGCTTGGAGTTCTACATCTGTACGACGTACGAGAGCCCATTTGCAAGCCGCTTTGCCAAGTCTGCCGACATCCGGAAAAGGCGTCAGGATTGGCGGCTGGGTTGAGTTTTTAGTGACATCTATGTGTTTAGTGAATTTTGTGTTTAGGGTTCAGGATCGCGGGCTTAAGCTTTAGAGCTTGCGGTTTAGGGTTTAATTCCAAGTGGTCTTCCGAGGACGTTGGGCGGTGTCGACCTCCTTTCCATAGTCCACGGCTACGAGATCGTGAGTCTCTTCTGCGTTGCTTCCTGTCGGCAAGTACGCCCGAAGCTTAAACCGTACACCACCAGTTTTGTTGGCAAAATCCTAGACTCCCGAAGCCCTAAACTTAAATAGCGCTACTGTAGGGGGCCCTAATGATTAGAACTGGGTTTGGGGGTACATATTTTTTTTTTCATTCCGCAGGCTTGGAGACCGTAGGTCGCGCCTATTGCACTGTACTGAATTCAAAGAACAGGTGGCGCAGAAATCTACAGACGTAGTATGCGCTCACCAAGAGGGGTGGGATGTAACCAGCAGTCGGAAAAGCTGTCCCAGCCCTTCAACAAAATGAACTTCAAGACTCTAGACACCGCATGCGAGTTGTAAAGGATGCGTGGTATTCCATACTTGGCAATCCAAGTAACGATCCTGATTTCGGACCTAAGAAGCGGGATCTTCCTCACGGGTATCAGATGAGGCTATCCCCGCAAAGTAACCATATACCCAGGATGTCAAAACACCCTCATTGAGGTGATATCGGGACATCGGAGCAACTGCGATAAAACAACGGCAGTGCTACTTAGTGACACTTGCATCACTCACTTTCCCAGAACTGCTAAGTCAGGAAATCGGAGGCACCGCCACAGATCGAAGACCAGTCGTCAGTGCATAACCCCTCGGTAAGACTTGCAGCAATTGCCAGCTTTCCAATGGAAGCCAGCCGCACGCCTCCAGGCCCGTAGACGAATCATGACGGGTGAAGGCTGTAGTTGGCAGCTTTCCACCTAAGGCCAGCCGCAAACTCGTTTAACATGTAGTATGCGAGCGTGCCCTCCAAACTAATGGTCACCCTGGACAGTGTGTCCTTCGGCTTCGTGTCCATGAGCGCCATCATTTCAAGTGAGGTGCAGCGGTTGCCGGCTTCAAGTTTGATGATACAGATGCCTTCGCCTGGCGAGCCTCTGTTCTGCATGGTGACGCATTGCTGCAAGGCAAGCGTCTCCGTGAAACCAGCCTCAAACTCCTCTACCGTGTAGTTGCGAGAGTGTCCTCCAAACCAATGTTTAGCCTGGCCCTCTTGAGCAAAGTGTCCTTCGCCCTCATGCGCACCATCGCGCGGTTGACAGCTTTCAGGTTGAGAATTTATATGCCCTTGCATGAGGAGCCACCGTTCCGCTTGACGATACGCGGCTGGAAAAGTCTTGTTCAAGTCAGCCGCGGACTCATCAACCATGAGTGGGTCCTCCGAACCAGTATTCACCCTGGCCCCCTTGCGCTGCGTGCCCTTCGCACCTATGACTCCATCACGTCGGGTGGGGTGCGGTAGTTGCCAGCTTTCCGGTCGATCATCTGGCAGGCTCATGACGTACCGCCTTCCGCTTCGCGGCCATGGCATGCGGTACTGGGGCTACCGAGATTCCTCAGTGGGTGACTCGAGCCCTGGGGGTACATATATACATATAGTCACGTTAAGGAACCACCAAAACGCGCTATTCTAATTAGTAAGGCTTCTATGTTAGGCCCTTGAAGTCTCAAGGCCCTAAGCCTTGAGTCTTGTATCGTCTTTGGAAGTGACATGGAGCCCGAAAAGGGAGTTTCCGAAAATCAGGGGTACCTTATTTCGGGGTCCTTATAAGAAGGTTCCTACTATGTAGGGTACTATATTAGGGTCCCCCATTTTCGGAAACTCCCAACAGGGGCCCAGTCAGGATTGTGTTTCGGTTTCAGGGTTTAGGATTTGCGGTATGCTCCTCTGGTTGAAAGTAGTTGAAAGTGGGCCTTGTGGGGTATGCTGATGGTGACCGAGACTGTGAAAAGGAGGGCAACCCCAACAAAAGAACACTTCCAATGAAGATTCCCCATGCAGGGACCCATGCATCGAAGCCTATGCATCTTCTTTGATATAGGAAAGCCGCTAAACCCTGAACCCTACATCCTAAGCTACTCTAACATGGCCCAAGCCGGGACACGAGCAGGCACTGCACCAGAAACCTTAATCCTTCAGTCTTGAACCCGAAGCCCTTTACGCCCTGAAGCCTCAGAGCGGATAAATCCTAAAGCCAACCCAAAACCCGACTAGAACTCTTATAGATCCGTTAACGGATCCCTTACAAGCGACGACCCTAAAATGCTGGTTTCCGAAAAATTGAGGACCCTGATATAGTACTCTAAATGCTAGGATCCTCACTATAAGGACCCCAAAAAGGTACCCCTAATTTCGGAAACTCCAACTCCTTCTATAGAACCCTTTAAAGGGATCCTTATAGTACCCTTATAGCAACCCTTTAAAGGAACCCCCAAAATAAGGTACCCCGAAGTTTCGGAAACTCCCAAACCCTAAACCCTTTATAGAACCCTTATAGGATCCCTTTAATTGGAACCCTTAAAGGATCCCTTTAAAGGTACCCTGAAGTTTCGGAAACTCCCAAATGGGCCTCCAGGCCTGTTTCCCGGTGCTGCTGCTCTGGAGGGCTGTCTCCTCCGCACTGCAGAAAGACGAGGGAACGAAGGTCCGTTTCAGGGGGTTTGGGTTTAGGGGTTTAGGGTTTTAGGGTTTAGGGTTCAGGGTTTAGGGGTTTAGGGTTTAGGGTTTAGGGGTTTAGGGGTTTAGGGTTTAGGGGGTTCCTTTCAGGTTTTTCGAGGGGTTCCCATAAAGTGTGGAGGGTGAAGGGTTTACACGGTTTGATGTTTCGGGGGTTTAGGATTCGTGAAGGGCTTTGGGGATGTAGGGCCATGTAGGGTTGGTCCAGGGTTAAAGGTTTAAGCTCTAAGTGGGACGGGTTTACGTATGCCACTAAAGCTTCGTTGTAGAACTCCTATAGCAAAGCTCTTAAACCCCTAAACCCTAACCTTATAAGAACCCCTGTGGGACTATCGTAGGGATCCATTCCCCCATTCCTTACAAAGCAGCAGGGTGTTACGAGCCCTCAACGATGGCAGGAACCCCTATATGGTCTTCAACCCCCCCCCCAAAAAAAAAAGGCACTGAAAGGACGCCCTAAACCCTAAACCCCACAAAAAGACACAGAAAGGACGCCTTAGAAGTTAGAGGAGCTCCAAAGCCTACTTGGAGGATCATGGGACTTAGTAAGTAGGTTATAATTGGGGTTATAAGTCCCCTAAGTGGGTTATCCTAATCATAACCCACTTACAACCTTACTTACTAAGTCCCATGAGCCTTTAAGTAACCTCAGGCCGATTCAGAGCAGATCGCGCGGCAAATCCTTCAGGCGAGTGGCCGGGGGGCGCAGAGTATGATGTTTAGGGTTTAGGGTTTAGGGGGGGGGGGCGCAGAGTATGATGAACCTCTTAGCATGGGGTGGGGTTTTGGTCTACTTAAAGGCTCATGGGACTTAGTAAGTAAGGTTATAAGTGGGTTATAATTAGGATAACCCCACTTAGGGGACTTATAACCCCAATGATAACCTACTTACTAAGTCCCATGAGCCTTTAAGTATTAAGTAAGGGTTTTGGAGCTACTGGGTCTGTGACTCTGCAGCCCTACAGAGTGCGGTTTACAAACACAAAAGGCCCAAACCCTGCACCCAAATCCAAACCCCAAAACCCAAGACCCGCTATGATAAGATTCCTTACAGATCCCTTAAAGCAACCCTTACTGTTGATGATAAAAATCCTGCATTACCCGTAATAACGAATAGACCATTTTTTCCCATGGTTTAGGATCCTGAAGGTAATGCAGGATTTATCTCATCATTCGTATGTTCCTTAGCGCCTAGATCCCTCAAAGTACCCTAAACCCCAAACCCTAAAGCCTAGACCCTGAACCTTGTGAAGCCCAGACGCCCCCTAGTTTAGGATCCTTAAGGTAATGCAGGATTTATATCATCAACCGTATGAAACCCTAAACCCTAAAGCCTAAACCCTAAACCCTAACGCCCCCCAGGATCTTCCCGTCACGGAGAGCGGCTGCCAAGGGCTTCTCGAGGGTGTCCGTGCTCGACTCTTCCTCCTGGGCCTCGATCCGATCCTGCAGCTGGGTAGTAGATTTTAGGGGTTTTGGGGTTTGGGATTTAGGGTTCATGGATTCGATTTTGAAGCTGGGCTTTTAGAGGGTTCAGGGTTTTAGGGTTTTGGGGTTTGGGGTTTAGGGTTTAGGGATCCGTTCCTGCAGCTGGGCTTTTACAGGGTTTAGCGTTTTACATTCTTAGTTTTTTGGACTTTTAAGGTTTTGTGGTTAAGGGTCCTGCAGCTGGTGGCTATGGGGTTTCAGAACGGCTTGGTAGGGTTTCAGAAGGGTTCTTATAGGGAGTATCAGAAGGGCTTGAACGGATCATTTCCATCGGCTTGTTATGGGCTTTCGAAAGCTTTCATTGGGGTTTACGAGGGTTTCAATAAAGGAGTTTCTGATGCTTTGCACCGGGGGCTTGCAAGGGCTGTGCATGGCGCTTTATTGGCTTTGTTGAGTTCTTGTTCAAGGGCTTGATCTGAGTTGTCATCCTTCGTGGAGGTAAAGAGGTGTAGGGCTTAAAGCGCTGTTTACAAGCGATCCAACAGTCGTTCCATCACTAAATTGCTACCATATTGAGGTGTGTACATATGGACCAGCATATGTGGTTTCACAGACATGAACATACACGTAATTGAAATGAAAGCAAATAAGTCAGTAGACTTAAAAATGAAGGTAAACTTCTTTACGTATAGTAGCTTAAACGCCCAGGCAAATGTGGACCCTAAACCTTGAATCCGAAGCTCTATAAGCCCATCTGCCAGGCAACTGAGCTCCCATCTTAAACCTTATACCTTAGAAGCTGCCCCCCACCCTGTAATAGTCGTGGTATAATAGGAATATAATAGGGCCCTAATATAATCCTATATATAATCCTTATATTCACTATTACAGGGCGGGGGCAGCTTGTAACTTATACCCTCAAAATTGAGAGCTCAGCCTTGAAAGAAACCCTTAGAGGACACTGGCAAGGAAGCCTAAACCCTACACTCTAAACCTTAACCCCTAAACCCTCAACCCTAACCCCTGACCCCTATACTCTCAACCCTAAGCCCCAAACCCTAAACCCTCAACCCTAAGCCCCAAACCCAAAACCCTACCACCTACTAGGCAACTGAGCTCCATCTTAGGTTTTTATAAAAAACCATTTATAAAAAACCTCTATGGGTTTTTATAAAAACCCTCTAGGCCCTAACCCCTGACCCTTAAACCTTATACCCTAAGCCCTAAACCCTAAACCCTAAACCCTACTAGGCAACTGAGCTCCATCTGGGTGCTGCTGGTCGCCGGAAGCTCCCCGGTTGCTTCGAGGGCTCTGCTTGTTCGGCTCCCGAGTGCCCTTTTGGTGACTTTAAGTTTAGGGTTTAGGGTTTAGGGTTTAGGGGTCCTGAACCCTGAACCCTAAACCCTAAACCCACTTTAAGGGTTGCTTTACGGGAGTAGGGTTCAGGGGTTTAGGGGTTTTTTTGAAGGGTTTAGGGTTTAGGGTTCCTGGAAGGGTTGCTTTAAGGGATTAGGGTTCAGGGGTTTAAGGTTTAGGGTTCCTTGAAGGGTTGCTTTAAGGGATTAGGGTTCAGGGGTTTGGGGTTCAGGGTTCCTTGACCGGTTGCTTCAAGGGATTAGGGTTTAGCGTTAGGGGTTTGGGCTTCAGGGTTCCTTTAAGGGTTGCTTTAACGGTCCCTTTAACGGTTCCGCCGCTAGAGGGTCTAGGGTATAGGTTTTGAGGTTGGGCTGTGAGCTTTGGGGGTTTGGGATTTGGGAATGTGAGTGGTTCCTTAAGGGCTTCTGCATGGGTGCCTCATAGAGTTTGGCGTGGGATTCGCGGTTCAGGGTTCAGGGTTTGGTCTAGAAGTGAGTCGAAGCCGCAGATGAAGCAGCCTCACATGTCAAGAAGAAGCCTTGCATATGCCTACCTCTGAAGTGATGCTGCCAAAGCCTGTTGGGGTTTGCGGATTTGCGGCATCTCCCTTGCACCAAGGAGCGCTTTCTTCAGGACTATACTTGAGCCGTGATGTCTCCCGCACCGTCTTACTGCGCCCGATGCCGGTAAGCAGAAGAGTATCAGTAAGCTGATCTTACTAGAGTCTTTGCAGTATACCATTGCGCTATCGTCGTTACGACTACCATAGCCATATAAGGTAGAAGCCAGAAAGTTGGAATATGATTATCCTAACCCTTCTATGGTAAATTATAGGGTATCCTGCCATGAAACCATATTCCAACTTTCTGGAGTTCCCTGTAACATCATCAGCAACAACATCAATCAGACGATTGGTCAGTTGGGCCGAACCTGAAAAGCTCGCCCCTATAAGACACCTGCAGCGCAATCCTCAAGCCCAAACGAAAAACACACCCTTTAAGCAGCCCACCAAGCAAGCATCGAACCCTCAACTCTTATACAGACCCAACTTAGAACCCTTTAAAGCACCTGTTTAAACGAATCCTAGTCTAATTAGTCAGGCCCCTGTATTGCAGGCTTTAGCGCAGCCGGTCTTCTGGTGGCGGTCTGGTGTCGCTGTCTCTGGCAGCTCTGCTTGGAGGATGAAAGGAGGTTTAAGCTTGCTTAAAGGCTCATGGGACTTAGTAAGTAAGGTTATAAGTAGGTTATAATTAGGATAACCCCACTTAGGGGACTTATAACCCCAATTATAACCTACTTACTAAGTCCCATGATCCTCTAAGTGGGGTTATACAGAGGGCTTCTGTACCGATGTCTATATGGGTTTCTAGAATGGCGTTATTCTGTACGAGTTCTTGGCTTGTCTTTGGATTCGGTACACCTGAGCCTTAGACCTTCCACTCTTGCGGCCTGCATTTATACCCTGAGGTAACCAAGCGAAGAGGCTGGGGGCCCAGAGCCTCCAAAACCCCCCTTAATTAAGGAATATACCTTAAATCATATTAGGTATCCTATTATAATTTAGGGTATATTCCTTAATTAAGGGGTTTTGGAGGCTCTGGGGGATTGCATTCCGGGTTCGTAGGCCAGGTTCGTACATGTGTCTTGCCCGCAGGAACCCCATCACAGAGACGCCGATACCGTTACATTTCTAAGCTATAAACGGCTTCTTGTGACCTGACGATCTTTCTTTGTCCGTGAAAGGATCTATGAAACCCCATCACACCACAAACCAGTACTACAAAAGAAACTGAACCAAACCCTGTAAACCTGCAGTCAAGTAAACGAAAAACCTTAACAGAAACCTGGTGATCCCCTCAGCACTAAGCCCTAAACGCTAAACCCTACAAATCTTCGCGTACGTAAACGAAGCAGAAAACCCCAAACCCTAAACCCCTAAACCCTAAGCCCTAAGCTCTGAACCCCTAAAACCCTAAACCCTAAACACTAAACCCTAAACCAAGGAAGCTCGTGCTCTACAAGAGCCCGCGGAAGATCGTCGCATCTGCACAGGAGAGCATGAAACAAGGCAGGGCCGGGTCGGGGATCGAATTAGGGGTCCAGGCACCCCTTTAAGGATTCATTTAAGGGGTTGTGTAGGCTTTAGGGTCTAAGGGCCCATGTACCCAAATAGCATATACTTTGGCCCCAATGTACCTGTATGGGGACCTAAAGGAGCCCTATATACGAAGAGCGGGGGTAGGCTTCCCCTCAGCGTCTTTGTTGAGTTTGGGGACTAATATAGAGGCCTGGACTAACACTATTTGGGGGGCGGGATCCTTATCATAACTGCAGTATACTTGGAGGATCATGGGACCGTAAGTAAGGTTATAAGTACCTTAGGTGGGGTTATCAGTAGTTACAGGTACAGTTACCTGAGTTATAACCCTGGTTACTAAGTCCCATGGTCCTCCAAGTAATATTCCCCAAAACCTTTTTTTGGGGCTTGGCTTACTTCTGAATGACCGGGTGCTCCATCACGGCCGTTTGCTCAGTCAGGTAGGGTTCTGTAGAGCTTAGCATGACCCCAAACCCATCGGGTTTCATAGGGGTGTTTGAGTTTAGAGCTGAAGCCCAAAATTCAAAACCCTACATGACCCTAAACCTTTACACCCCTAAAGCGTTTTGTAGTTTAGGGTTCAAGGGGCACTGCTGCAGGTTTAGACCCTACACCCTAAACCGTATAGATCCTTAGATCCTTTAAGGAGCCCTATAGATCCCTAAAAGGACCCCTTAAAGGAACCTTACTCACTAAGTCCCATGATCCTTCAAGTAGAGTTCAGCACCAACAGAGCAAAAAGGCGCTAAAAAACATGAACTGCGGAGGTTTAGCGTTGCAGGTTTAGGGCTTCAAACTCTAACTCTTCTATGCTGCGCCTCGATCGTTCTACCCTGACCGGCGATCTCGGGATGTCGGATCTTTTTGGGTGGAGCAGATGAACCCTCAACTTTAAGCAAAAGGCCAAGCTCAATCCCGAAATCCTGCGTCTGCGAGTTTTCGAAAGCCCTATACAGCCCTTGCAGCCATGCATATCAAATAAGCCTTCAAACCCTGCAGAAGCGGAAGCCCCCTGAACCCCGAACTACCCTAAACCCTAAACCCTAAACCGTGCTTAAAAGAAAAAGAACTCTTCGACCCAGGCATCTTGCATCGAGACGTTGTGGAGCTGGTCGTCGACCACGGGGGCTTTCAGGCGTCGGTTACAGCTGTTATTGTAGGGTTTAGGGTTTAGGGCTCTCTACAACCCTAAACGCTAAAGCCAAAGCCGAAAGCCCCGATGTAAACGAATGGGAGTTTAGTAGAGGATTTCGGGGTGAGGGTTTTCGGGGTTGAGGTTCAACAATGAGTCCAGCTTCAAGATCTGTTGTAGGCATAGGTAGGGGATGAAGGGGCCAGGGTTTAGGGAGTTTAGGGTCCCGGATCTGGGATAGGCATAGAGTTTCTTAGTAGTAGAGTAGGTAATCTGTAACCTTTGTTGGGTAGTATAGTCCCTATATAATCCCTATACAACCAAAGAGGTACCCGACAAGTAGGGTTTGGAGGTTCGTCATGGTTTAGAGTACAGAGCAAGGTTTCGGGATTTTCGTGCTCGGCGTTCCGGGTTAACAAACGGTAAGCCATCCGTTCTAATATACGGGCCTCAACAAATACCTCTACTGCTTTGGGGCTCCTTTTTGTAATTTTTTTTATAATGAGAACAAAACCCTATTCTAATTATTAAGGCCTCTACATTACACCTCCTGGCATCCCGGGACCGCATTATCCTGAGTGCTAATCCCAGACAAGACACATCCGGAAGGCCACCTCCCACTCACTCAAACCCGAAGCCTTATGCCCTACTTGGAGGATCATCATCATGGGACGTAGTAAGTATGGTTACAAGAACATTAAGTGGGGTTATAAGTATACTTACCTAAATTATAGACCTGGTTACTAAGTCTCATGACCCTCTAAGTAGTGTATCCTAACACCATAAACCTTCATCAATGGCCAAGCTCAAAGAGTGATCTGCAAATATTCGATACTCTGTCACTTTACATCTGAACCTGAAACTCTCTTCAGGCGTGCTTCTGCCTCGCGATCGTTTCGCACAGCTTCTTCTTCTCCGTCCTGGATGTGCCCGGGGCGTCCCTGGCCCAGCGGTGCCACAGACTCCAAACCCCGAAAACTGCACCACAAGCCTTGGACTTCAGTTCTTATGCTCGTTTAAGGAATAGTCCTTGACTTCTGTGGGCTCCTTATCACTGATAACCCTTATCATTGATACTACAGGAATACTCCTCAGACGACGAATGCAGATACACACACATATATATATATATATATGCTAGCCCCCCCCCAAGACCAACCCTGAATTCCCTAAATTCCCTAATTCCCTACCCATTGGATTTAGGTATTTCCCTAAATTCCCTAAATTCCCTAATTCCCTACCCCATGTGTTGGATTTGGGGATTTCCCTATTTCCCTAAATTCCCTAAATTCCCTAAATTCCCTAAATTCCCTAAGTCTGACCCCCATGGAGAAGATTCAATGGTTTCCGTTCATGGGCAGGGAATTTAGGGAATTTAGGGAATTTAGGGAATTTAGGGAATTTAAGGAATTTAAGGAATTTAGGGAATTTAGGGAATTTAGGGAATTTAGGGAATTCCCCAAATCCAACACATGGGGTAGGGAATTAGGGAATTTAGGGAATTTAGGGAATTAGGGAATTTAGGGAATTCCCTAAATCCAACACATGGTCCGGGCTGGGAGTCAGGAATGTTAGGGAATGCGCTAAAACCAACACATGGGGCTGGAAATTAGGGTATGTAAAGACTTTAGGGATTTAGGGAGTCTGCAGGAACTCACGCATTCTGTAAATTCGAGGCATGGAAGCAGTGATTAGAGAATTTAGGGAACTCGACCTCGCGACGTCGCCGGTTGACGTGTCTGTGCAACTGATACTTGTAGTAATATTGATATTATTTTGAAAACTTTGAAAACTATAATACTCATACGAGTACTAATACTTATAGTAATACTACTGGTGAAACTGATAGTATGCTAGTATGAATACTGATGTTCCCAAGAATACTTGAAATCATGTACATTGTATGAATAGTCTTGATGCGAATACTAATATACATACTATAGCTAGTATTATCGCTAGTATGAATATTGGCTATGCATATTCGTGAAATTACTCATTTTTGGAGTACTCATATTCATGCTAATATTAGCACTAACCCTGGGGCTCCCCGTGCTCATATTTATGATACTTGCTGATGTTGCCATTCTTGGCGCACTTTGGCATGTGTCCATTTTTCCTTAACGCATGCTATATCATACTATAATATCATGATATTATATGTATTATATCATATATATATATATGTATGTAAATATATGTATGTATATATATATATATACAAGTAAGTAAAAACAGCATTATATGATATGATATAGTTATATATATATATATATACATACATACTTCCCGCCTTCCGGTTCCCCCGCCCTCCCTGCCTCCCCTTTTCGTAGTACGTTTGGCTTTTGACCTGCTAGCTGATTCTGATGTCCTTGACTTGGACACTGCGTGTGCGACTGTGAATAAATAAAAAACCAGCCATAAATCCCTACAGGACCCCCCAAATCAAAACAGCTGAACACCCCAGCCTGTGTTGAAAGGTTTCGGCCCGGCTTTTCAAGATCTAGTTTCTGACAAGCCCATGAGCCTTCACCTGATGAGATCCTGCCTGATTGCACAAACTTCCGGGGTATTTCAGTTTCCGTGGTGAGCTGGGGTTGTCGAGAACTGCCTTCGCCCGATAAAGTCCTGCTTAAGCGTAATTGCACACACTTCTGGGGTGTGTTGGAATTCGGTGGTTCAGCTGTTGTCGAGATCCAGGTACTTATTCTTAGTCTGGCTGTAAAATCAGGTGCCCTGACCCGATGAAATCCTGCCTCGTTAACTCACACTTCCTGGGTGCTTCAACTTCGGTTTGAGCTGGGGTTGTCGAAAGTCAGGTGCTTCCTGCAATTCTGCCGCAAATCCGGGAGCCTTCTGGGGTATTTCAAACATGAAATTAGTCATTTCGGTGGTGAACTGGGGTCGTCGAAATCCAAGTGATTCGAGTTCTTGCAGTGAATTCCGTTGGTGCATGCGCATCCAGCTTAAGCAAAGCCCGTCTGAGATGACGTATAATCAAGGCCATCCCACACACCCCATCCTCCCAACCCTAAGCGTAATAATGTTGGTGCGGGTGTTCTGACACTTTACCATATATATCTGCATATATACATATATATATACATGCTTGGTCTTTCCTTAACCCGATACCCTACAGCACTGAAATGCCCATACTCTCGAACTCGCGACTGCTGGGAATAGTGCGACTAGCTGGTCCCGCAATCTTCAGATATGCAATTTACAACTAGATCAAGTGCTGTGTGCTGGTCGATGGCCAAAAATTAAGCATGGCCAGCATGAATCGATGCGGCGGCGCATCTTTGCCCAGGAGTATGCAGATGCAGGTGCAACCGGGGCTACAAGTGTATGAAATACTATGTGTATATATAGTTCGAGAAAACATTGCATTGAAGTGCGGTTCTCTAAATACTCGGCAGGGGAATCCTCTAGATCGCGATCCTGCAGCCGACGTGCCCCGGAACCTCCGACTGCTAGCACACCGTCGGCTGGAAATGTGAGTGATGGTTGGCTACATGATCATGATCAACTTTTCGCTGCACGGTTGGAAGCAGATCCAGCTTGGAACTGCAAAGGTATGCCCCCCCGCTGCTGCTGCATTCATGTTGCTGTGGTGTTTTGTGTGCATCGGTATGCAGCATGCCTGAAAGTATGTGTTGCTTGAATGTCCAGGCTTAGCAGCCTCTTCATGAGTTTTCCGGCCTAGAGCTGGGTTTGAATTTCATCGAGGGGTCCCTGAGATAGCCTGCTCATATACTATTAGGTGGTCATGACAGCTATGTCTACCATGGCAGCCCGTGCCGAGCATCGCCAGCAACAGAAACTTCTTCTAGAAGCTACTTGCAAGCAAGTAAAATGAAAGGCGACTCCCGGTAGGTTTTCCTGTTCCCGCTCCCAAAATCATCCCAGGACCTACTCAACAGCTGGTTGACAGAGGAAGTGGACCGGCTCCCCCGCATCCGAAGTCTCAAGGCTCGCTTATCGATAGTTTGGTTACTAGAATGATTGTGCCATCGGCAAATCAAATTTACGGTTCATGGCACTAACTTTCAATATATATATATATATATATGCATCTGGACAGCAAATCTGGGCTTACGGCTTGAAGGGTTTAGGCTTCATTATTATTCATCCCTTCCAATTAATAATATAGTGTGTAAATGTGGAATCGAAATCGAATCATATATATATAGCTTTCTCTTTGATCCTGCAGGCTCGGGCAATCCTGGAGGTCCCGGCGAATGCCACAGTGGACTCGATCCAGATGGTGAGACCGAGAGTGAAACATATAGAGGGGTTAGGTTAGACTAAAGGCTGGAATAGGGGAGGTTACCTAGATTAGGTTCGAACGGGTCAGAGCAGGTTACGTTGTACTAGAGAGGGTTAGATCAGGTTCGGCCAGATTCGGTTATATTTAACCCATTGGTGTATACGTATAGTTCATGGCATCCGTCCCTGCAGTTAGAACACCATGTGATGTTCTTTGCGGCCTACTTCGCAACTTTCAGTACGGACATCCCATGGATGTCCTCTCACCAGGACTGCTCTGCAATTGTGTAGGTTAAATATTCACGAAGTGAAGCTGCACTTCTAGAGTTATCTAGCTGGGGCAGGAGGTGCTAATCGTGCTTGCGAAGCGATATGCCATATGGCCTCCAAAGACCAAGTCCAAGATTATTCGTGTGCTTAGGCCGCATTAATGCAAGTGTTGTACACAAACGCCAGTGCAGCAGTACACCGATCCCAGGATTGGGCATGCAATGAGGGTGCAATCATCCGCAGCGCCGCAGCGCACATGCTGCTCCTTTGCAAACGATCCAAAGGATCCAGGAGTCCGACATGGATTCGCTTTAAATTTATTGGATAGGATATAGTGTTGGAATTCTCGTTACCAGGAGCTCGAAGATTGGAACGCTGAAGGAGATCATTCGACAGACGATTATGGATGAAGGCTTGCCTTTGCTATATTTCGAAGATCTTATTTTATGGCTATATGCATCCCACCTGATTTAAAAGCTATCCGGGATCCGTGCAGGCCTTGGAGATGAAGATGCAGCCCTGGACGCTGCTTTGGGAGCTGCTGCGGCCGAAGATGGCTCGGCTGTCACTGGCATGCATAAGTCTACAAGTATTACTTCGGATCTATGCTTCGATCTGCCAAGTGAGTAATTACTCACTTGGCAGATCGAAGCATAGATCCGAAGTAATACTTGTAGAATAAAGGCCTGGAGAGTGTGGCTAGTTGGGATTGGGTGAACTAAACTAGATTCGGAGACACGATCACATGTTTAGGTCTGATTTTCGAACACTAGGGTTTCCTTGACATGTACATAGCTAACCTAGTTTCATATTTAAGAAAATAGAGAACCAACTAAATTATATGGAGAGAGGGCGAGAGAAGTGAAGGGACTGGGAAATCCTGGCTTTGGGTTTGAAATTATGGGGCGCCGGTGATTAGTATAGCAGTCTGTTGCAGGGTTGGGTCACGTTACTGCATCCGCTTCTTGAATATAGTGTTTTAAATTTTCTGTATAGCAGGTGTACATGTGTGTACGTGTGTATATATATATATATTGTATATTTATGTGTGTGTGACAATTAATATATCTACATATATATATATATATATTGTCTTTACTGAATCTACGATGTGCATGTTGTGAAAATTAAATAATGCGGCCATAATCACATGCATGAACCAAAATCTCAACATGGCCTCAGGTTATGTCCCCGACATCGGATGCTTCGGACAACGACGCCTGTACTGCAGCTCCCCGGCATACAGTAGTTATTAGCTCGGGGTGTCCAGTGTTTGGTTGCGAATCAACTTCGAATTGGCAACATGCTCGCACGGTTATCGGCTGGGACGTCTATAGATCAACCCCAAGTGTTTAGCTTATTCATAACCAAACTTCCCAAAGTTTCGTTGGATGAGTCATC